ACTGATTAAGGAATTCAAATTTGGTTTCACATTTCATTATACATCACGAAAAATTTGTTAAACATTATTGTGTTATTTCTGCATCTTGATATCAATACATCATTTTGGCGTCCATATATTTTACAGTCCAAATTATTGCCATTTTAACGTCCATTCAAATTATCTTCATTTTTACGTCCACATATTTTAGTACAAATTATCATACTTTTAAAGTCCATAGGTAATATTATCATAATATTGTTGGAAACAAAATCAGTATCAATATTAAAATTTAAATCATCCATTATGCACATCTTTTGTTTAATTAGAATATAAGGTGGTTTTTAAGTACACATTATGACTAAAATTTATAATGGTTATTTCTTGGATCATTATACAAGGGGGATATATTTGGGAGATTTTACATTGAAATCTGGATTATACCGCTAAGACAAAAAATGCATTTTTAAGACTTAACAGATCATTTTACTACTTCCACCGGTCTTATTTCTTGTTTTAAATACACAATTGTTTATAATATGGATCTCAGATTTAATAAAGCTGTTATATATAAAGATTTGACTTTTTGAACGACAATTCAGTTCAAATTTTTACTGTGTAATGCTTTATTTCAAAATTTAATTTCAAATATTACTTTTAAACAGAACATGTATACATAAAATGAAACACAGCTTATGTCCATAATATTTATTAAGAAATAATAGATAATTAATATCATATTCAAATAATGCAACAAACAAAAAAATACAATCAACATACCATTATTTGGTAGCATTAAATAAAACTTATTATCATCTTATTTTAAAATAAAAGGTTGAAAATAAAAAAATTAAAATAAAAGATTGGTTAAAACTAAGGCTTAAAGTTTTTATAAACTTTGGCCTTAAAATGTCAAACAGCCGTCCAAAGAAATAAATATATATATTTAAAGAATATTGTAAATTTATTATATTGGATGATATTTTTGGTCTAAAAGGAGATTGTATTGCCATCAAGTTTTATTATTTAAAGTTTTTTAATAAATGTATTAAATTAAGGCAATCATAGCAAAAATATTAACGAGTGAAGAATCGCATAAATTTTTTGTTTTAAAAAAATTGCAGGTTAAATTTACAAATTTATTTAACAATTTTTCCTTTCAGGACACCCTGAACAACCAAAATCTAAAAATTATTGTTTAGAATAGTTATTCTGAACATATACCTTTATTTGTTGCCATGTTTTGTTATCGAAGATCCCTTTGTGTGTGGATTTTAAATTTTTCCCAATCTTCTTTTTTTAAGGCTTTTTTATTTATAGTCATCTAAGCCTTATTTGGAAATATTAATTAATTTCTTAGCTAAATCTAATAAAATATTTAATACCAGAAATATATATAAGGAACCTTATTGTCTACAATTATCATAATTAAATTATGCTATTATGCTATCGAAAATTAAAAATGTCAGTGGCATACATTTTGTATGTTAATTTAACATATTAAAAATTAGTTATTAAGTATTAAAAATTTAATTATATGACTTTTCTTCAGGCTCATAAAAAATTACTTTCGCTAATCAAATAAATTATTTTTAAACTTTTAATTAAACTATTAATAACAAAATTAAAAAATCTCTTTCGTTTAAATTTGGCCGATAAAATGAATATCATAAATAATAAAAACAATTATACTTACCCAAACACAAATAATATTATTATTAGACAAATACGTGGTTGGTAAACTAAACTGCGCACCAGTCAATATGTCGCGACCAAAAATTTCGTCCTTTTTCAAAACGACATAACTTTTTTGTTTCTTGAACGATTTTATTTTGGTTTGTGATGTCTGCTAGCCCCATTCTCTGGCAATTCATGCTATAGATATGAAGCTCACGGATCTTCACGTAAATTTACTACAGGGTGATATGTAAAACAGTGAAAAATTTCAATAACTTCATCCAAGCCCCGTTTGTAAAATAAATATTTTTTTTTCGTTTTTACTTTGAAATAATGAAGTATTATGTCTTACCTTGAAACGTTTTTCAAATTTTTCGAATTGGAATCTTAGCAACAGAAATATGATTTTTTTTTCAATGGAGTACATTTGATGCTTTTTTGTAGGCAATACACTCAGCCTTTTTTAAGAACAAAAAGAAAAATAATAAAAGATCGTTCCTTGAATAATTCTGAACAAGCGACAAGCAACAAACTTCCATTAATTTCAGATGAACCTAAGCAAAGACCACTTTGTAAATGAATATTTAAGGGACCATGATATTGAGAGAATGAATTGGCCACCTTTGTCTCCGGATATGAATCATATTGAGCATGTCTGGAGCAGGATGAAACTGAAGATGAAAGAGAGGAAAGGACGCATGGAAAATTTGGATGAATTGGTAAATTCGATTCAGGAAGAATGGGAAGCCATACCCCAGTAATTTCTAAGGAACTTGGTCTAGGGAATGCTCAGGAGGGTTAACGAATTATTACGGGTTAGGGGAGGGCCAACGAAATATTGAAAGTTATTATTGTTATTGTTTGTTACATTTTTCTGTTGAATGTTGAAGTTTTTATTATGATTATATCTTCGCATAAAATTTTCAAAAATAAACAAACAAATTTTGTATTTAACTTTATTACCAATTAGGTAGGTACTTATCAGTAATAAGTTATCACTAGTGTGCAATATAAATGTAATTTATGTAACATTATCCTAACCACTCAAACAAAAATGAATCCCCAAATGGCATTGGCAAAGGCATGTTATTGAGACATTTAACAGCCGGGAATTGTTTTCGAATTTTGATTCTTGGTGATGTTGGTTTCATCTAAAACTTAAATTTGACAACTGAATCACATCAGGAGGTCAAAATTATAAAGCAAACATGTCACGAACGTAAATATCGGTTCAGGTTTAGTTTTCGCAAATTTTCTCCAAAATGTCATTTTGAAAAAGTGGTCTTTGCTTAGGTTCCTCTGAAAATAATGGAAGTTTGTTGCTTGTCGCTTGTTCAGAATTATTCAAGGAACAATCTTTCACCATCTAATCTTTTTGTTCTTAAAAAGGCTGAGTGTATTGCCTACAAAAAAGCATCAAATGTACTCCATTGAAAAAAAAATCATATTTTTATTGCTAAGATTCCAATTCGAAAAATTTGAAAAACGTTTCAAGGTAAGACATAATACTTCATTATTTCAAAGTAAAAACGAGAAAAAAATATTTATTTTACAAACGGGGCTTGGACGAAGTTATTGAAATTTTTCACTGTTTTACATATCACCCTGTAGTAAATTTACTTGAAGAACCGTGAGCTTCATATCTATAGCATGAATTGCCAGAGAATGGGGCTAGCAGACATCACAAACCAAAATAAAATCGTTCAAGAAACAAAAAAGTTATGTCGTTTTGAAAAAGGACGAAATTTTTGGTCGCGACACATTGAGTGGTGCGCAGTTTATTTGGAGGTTATTAAAAAAACCACTGCAACTGCACTACCCCGCTAGACAATATTATTTAGAGCGGAAGCAAGCATATCGTAAGAACAGATAGAAAAATATTCATTTCGGCGAACGCTTAAGCTTGAAAATATTAATTATTGACAAAACCTATGTATATTTTAAGGGGACGCAAATATATCGTAAGGTTGAGAAAAAATATACAGTTATTTGCAGTATACGATTCCGATTCAAACGCCCCTACCGGATTTTGTTTGAATTACAGTATATGGGGCTATTAGATGTTGACGAAATTTTTGCGTCCATATAAAAAAAAATTCCTGTTATAGTCACCTGAGAAAAGAACCTTTTAACAAAGATTGTATTTCTGCGTCCATATATGGATGCAGAAATACCTGAGACGCAGAATTACATGTGCAAAACCAAATGTATGGACGCAGCATTACAGAAGAGATGTAAATATATATATATATATATATATATATATATATATATATATATATATATATATATATATATATATATATATATATATATATATATATATATATATATATATATATATATATATATATATAATATTTAAGAAACGATAGCCAAGTGGCTAACAACATCCATTTCAAATAGCCAAATTTAGCAATCTAACGGATTTGAGAAAATAGAATGGCAGATGAGGTATCTAAACAGAAAACTTTAACAGGATAAGAGTACAAGTGCGGAATCCTTTTTAGCTCTGCTAAAGGCCATTAAAAACATAAAAAAGTATGTAGAATAAAGATCGAAAATAATAAAATTGGTATCGTCCCAGAAAAAATTGAACACCCTGTATAAATTAAATTACAACATTAAAAAATATGTATTAATTCAAATATTTTTGTTCCCTACAAATTTTTTATGACTACAGTTGTTTGTGAGATAGGCATATGGGTTATCTTACGTGGTTCCGCCCTGTACTTAGCTTCTTTTAATCCTAACTAATGGTTAAATTTATTAAAAATGATCTTTTTGTATAACAAAAAAGCATTTTTAATATGTTTTTCAACAAAAATATTTTTGGTCACCTAATCACTCTGTTTACGACATAGTGCGGCGCTCCAAAAGAAGTATAACTTCGACTATTTCCCTCGTCTTGATTTCCACCAATCACAATCGCGCAATTTTGAATTACAAATGGTTTCTAGGTGAAAAAACTGTGTGACAGCACCTGTCAGCAGTTTATTCGAGTTTACCCGCGGCAAAACTTGACAGCTGTTGTCACCAAAAATTGCAATTTATATTTTAATTGTTAACTGTTACTCATGAAATAGTCTTGTCAAATATCATTCGGGCATCTAATTTTTCCTGTGAAAAAAATCGAAAAAACACAATGCTAAGTAATATTTTTTAACAAAAAGCATTCGTGCAAGTGCAAAAATCCTCCTCTTCGACTCGGATTTTTGTTGCCACCAGCACTCATGCTTTTTGTTAAAATATCACGTGGCAACATGTTTTTTCGATTCTTTTCGGCAAAATTAAATGCCCTTATGATATTACTTACGATAAGAAACGATGTTTTGTCTGTTTAGAAAGCGAGGTGGACGTGACGCTGACCTCCTGCTCGGAGTGTCACAACTGCCAGTGCATCCTCTACGACGAGGACATAATGGCGAACTGGGCGGCGGACGATTCCAACCTGAACACGATCTGCACGTCGTGCGGCCGCCCCACCGTGCCGCTGCTGTCCGTGACGGTGACGGGCGGAACCGTGACGCCGCGCGACACGTTCAGCGTGCCCTACCTGAACCCGCTCGTGCTCAGGAAGGAGCTCGAGAACATCATGACGCAAGAGGGGGACCTGAGCTTGGCCGAGTCGAACTTCATCGACGAGCATCCGATAATCTACTGGAACCTCATCTGGACTTTCGAGCGGATAAACGTGCAAACGCACCTTCCGAATCTTTACATGAAAAACGGGGGCGAGGAAGACGTTTCCGAGACCAAAAGGAAGGAAAACGATGCTGAAAACGGATCTAGCGAAGGGTTAAACTTAAAACCAGTTGAGGAAGGAACAGATCCACTAACACTGGAACTAGCAGCATTAGGTAAGTTTTGCAACACTGTATTCGCTGATGTTGACGTTTTATTTGTATTTATTATAAGCTGCAAATAAGGAGATCACGTGTCCTCGTAAGTTTGCTTTTCACTATACATTTGCACATTGAGTGTTTTAATTAAAATTGGCTTAAAACCCAGGATAATTCAAATTTCTGAAGTTAGGTTAGTTATTTATAAAAAACATATTCGTAAAGGGTATTTCCACCCCACCTTGACAAAAAATCAGATGTCATTTAACAAAATACGGTGTGTCACCTTTGGTGACTTAAAAATCCTAGCTGCTCCTCTTTTAGAAATTTTTTGAAAATTCATGATTTTTTTTTTTGAGTTTTTGTTTATCTTGACAGAGTACACATTTGTACACCGATTTTTATAATATTGGAGTATATTGTTTATGAGATTTGGAGAATACTTTTTTATACTGTGCACATCATTTAATATATACAGGGTTAGCCAAAAATCGCTTCTTTTAATAAAGCAAAAGCGTAAATTCATGATTTTGGCATAACACGCAAAAAAGATATATACCAACCCATGTTTTTTTGAATATTTTTATTTTTATCAGGCTACAAAATGGGATTCTTACTAAGACTTTATAAGAAAAATTGATTTTGAATAAAATTAAATAAAATAACATTATTTTTTTTGTGCATTATGGTTTTTACCGTATAAAAAAGTGATTTTTGGCTAACCCTGTATAAATCTAATGATGTTCTCAGTATGAAAACAGTATTCTCCAAGTCTCGTTAATAATATACTCCAATGTACAATTTTGGTAAATATCATTTTTAAATCTCCAAAGAGTGCCGATCAAAAAACTTTAACCAGTTTTTCGTTCAAAATTTAAAACTACTAAAAAGCCTAAATTAAACAACATTTTAAATATTCTCTGAGCGTTATTTTATTCAATTTTATTGAAAATCTATTTTTTTTAAAAGGTTTATAAGAATGCAATTTTGTAACCTGATAAACGTAAAAATATTTAAAAAAAAACGGGGATAAATCTTTTTTGCGTGTTATGCCAAAATCATGAATTTACGCTTTGGCATTATTAAAAATAAGCGATTTTTGGCTCACCCTGCGTAAATCAAATAATGTGAACAGTATTAAAAAGTATTCATTAAGTCTCCTCAATTATATACTCTAATTTTATAAAAATCAGTGTACAAATGTGTACTCTGTCAAAGGTAGACTTTGAAATAAACAAAAATTTAAAAAAATATCATGAATTTTCAAAAAATTTCGAAAAGAGGAGCAGCTAGGATTTTGGTAAATATCATTTTTAAGTCACCAAAGGGTCTCGAACAAGAAACTGCAATCAGTTTTTTGTGGCATTTTTAAGTGACTTAAACTTCATTCAGGCACACCGTGATCTGAAGTCAAATAGTTTAATTGCGACGTAATTTATTCGTACATTGTGATGCTAAGAAGTATACAATATTTGTGCTTTTAAAATACGTGCTTGTTTAATTCAAGTTTTACACAAAAAATTATTACTATATGCGATCATCCAAAATTTTACAGTATCAACTTTAGAAGCCAACTTGGCCGCATTTGCCGATTTTCTAAGGTCGCGCCCGTTACGCTATTCATGACGTTATAAAAGGTTTTCTATACAAGTTTTTATTGACATTTTGTTTGAATTAAGTACCTAATTTTTATACTATTTTTTTATATTAACGTATCTTGATATATATGAACAAATACTTTATAATCATGAAAAAACGCATTTTCAGTGTCGCACCCGTTACTAAAGTAAAAATCTGCAGCCATTTATAACCATGTTTTTAGCTTCAGAAGTTTCTTATCCTGCGAAAGCCATGCTGTGCATGAGCTAAAAAACTAAAACTATACTTTTTAGAACGGTTAGCGGCTAAAGTTAACGTTCGATGTTTGTGGGACGATCCAAAACTTCACAGTGGCGTACCACCGATGTACGTTATCTGGCAAAAGTTGCACGAAACGTCTCAATCAATATCTCCTGAAAGAAAAACCGCCACAAAAGCGTAAGTTTTTATTTCTTTCAGCTTTCTGCTTTTATTGACAAAAGAGGTTCTTTTCCACTCAGCAGTAATCTTTAAAAGACATCTATAAGATATCTTTTTTTAGATATCTATTAGACATCTCTTAATAGATATCTACAGGTTGACCAATTCCAGATATTTCTTTAGATTGCTAAAAGGTTCATATAACTTTTTTCATTAAACATAATTGCTTCAAAAATCCTAAACATATAAAATTTGTAATATACAAGGTTGCATGTACAAAATGATACCACATATTCCTGAGACAGAAATAATGCGATAAAAAGTTCGTTTTTGATTTCGATTTTATTAAAAAACTTTGGAAAATACAAACGTTTTTGCAAAAAATTTGATATTCTGGGTTTTTCAGTGAATGCGCCTTAGTGTTTTTACGTTTTAATAAAAATATTTTTTTTTTTATCTTTATTACGTGAAAAAGGCATTTCTTCTAAATGTCTCTCTCGAAATATTGAGCAAAAAAGTTTGTGGTATTTTTTTATACATTTGTATATCTTTCTGATATCTTATGGATATCTTTTAGACATCGTATCTCTCGATGAAGATATCTGTTAGACATCTTTTAGAGGACATTTTGCTGGGTGGGTTTCTGTATGCTTTTCGGTTTACTTGCACGCTTTGTTTTCGAGATACAGTAGTGTTGCAATTATAAAAAAAAAATTTCCATATGGTATACCTTAGGGTGTCTGCTATGAGATATTTAAAAAAAAATGCGACTGTATCTCGCAAACGAAGCATTTTTTGAAGTTATTTATTAAAATTAACTTAATTTTTTTCGTATTTTTATGTAAAGAATCTCATAAAAAAATTTTTGCAATATTAATGAATCACCTTGTATACAAGTGTTTTAAGGATAACTGACAATACATATATTAAAATTAATTTAAAAAAGGAACTTTTTATGAAACGGAAATCAATAAATAACGTATAATAATATTAATTTTTTTGATAAACTTATATTAAAATTCCAAAATTTTCAGAAATACATACATATTTTATTGAAATTTTGTAATTTTTTTCTAGGGACTCATTTAAATAAGCACTCGCTCGCAAGCTCGCTTGTTAAGTTAAATTCGCGACTAAAATGGTGTTTATCAAACTTAATACATAATTTAAAAGTCCTTGTGAAGTTCTTTCGTAAAATATATCTTTTCACTTATTAAATTTTATAATATTTCTCATATTATGCTGTCTGGTTTGCCCTTGCTAGAGAATAAAAGGTACGCCAATGATCTGAAATCAACGGTTGATTTAAGAAAACGTAAAATTTTATTTATTCTTAGTAATTTATAGCAAGAAATCAAGAATGTTTATTTTGAAATAAACTAAATTAAAAATAACGCTTAAAAATATTTTACAACAGAACACAAACAATTAAAAATATAACTACAATTTTTTTTTTTTAAACAGAAACCTAAATTAAATCATTATGTAAAAAAACTAGACGTCATATGATGAAAAAATATATGCATCTTTAACACCTTGTATTTCTGAGAAACTGTTGAGTTTTCTTTATAAGTTTGAAAAAAAAATTAATTATTAAATTTAATTTTTTTTAAATTTTTGATTGATTCCTAAACTATTAAAGGTTCCTTTTGGACCACCCTGTATATTTTAGTAAACGCCCGTAAATCCTGTTCCCGTGATTACACAATTCAGAAAAATCCTGAACATTAGGGTGACCCGTTTTGAAGGAACATTTATTTTTTGTCACTCCCCAAGCAAAATATTGTTGTACTATCACGTCAAAGTCCCACCACTTGACTTTGATAAAAATAATTAAGTCAGTGTCTAGATAATTATGTCTTATTTTCTATAAATAATGGAATTTATGTATTATTTGTTTTAAATTAAAACCTTTATACACCCGATATGTACAGTTCGATTTTTAAAAGAAGTAACTTTCGACATAGATTTAAATCCTGTTTTTGACATACGTATCGATGTATGCCATTGCTAGCGCGCCTGGGCGTGGAAATATAAAAAAATGTCTGAGTTTGATCCGTAAATTAATGATGAAAGTTACTTCTTTTAAAAATCGAACTGTACCTCAATACTTTGCTTGGGGAGTGACATAAAATAAACTACCTTCAAACCGAATAAAAAAATATTTTTTTGTAGTTTCATGCAACAAATAATATACAACATTCGAGGAAACAACTTGATTGAACCCTTAAAAACCCTGGGTAGCGAGCGCGAAAAAGATTGTCGAAATAAGTTGACGACCTCAAACTCCGTCTACCGAGACATCCTGTTTTTGGCTTGCAAAGCCATCGGACGCAGCATGATCGAGATTAATAATTTTGACAGGGAGTACACCGCCGCCTATACCAGGGTGACCGAAAGACAAGGGCGGATGTACCGGGCGCAGGACAAGCCCATAAGTTTGAACTCGCTCTACTGCAGACAATATTTTCGCCCCCTTACTTTGCCTTAATGGCATCGACTTAATTTACGGTGACGACGGTTTTGGTTTTATTTTTTCGTTTTATTAGGTATTTTGTCAACCGAAATCTTTGCTTGTCAAGCATTACCAAGTGATGGAACAATTACATGATACGTATTATTTGTTTAATGTGCTGTTTTGCTTTAAGTCAATTAGTTCAAGTTTATTTTCATCAACTCTAAAATGTGTTTATTTTTTATAAATCATGCGCAGTGTGTTTCACTAAATTATGAAAAATGTGCACTGCTTCCATTCACTTGTATATTAACTTTTATTTTATTATACATACGGTATATTATACCATATATTGTAAGTAGGAGGACATGAAAAAATAAATTGTTATTTCCATTTTATGTTGTTTTTTTATTCCTTTTTTTACCTCAATCTAGATTTCAACAGAGATGGAGTGCTCCAATTGGTTAATTACTTATAAATCTACCCAATAAACAATTTGTATTACTAAGTATAATGAAAAGTTGTGTAAAGGTAAGTATAGAGAAGTTTAACAAGGTTTTATAAAATCCCCAATTTTCTTTATGAGTTTTATATTGGTCACATAAGGTTACTGTAACCTCTAGTTATATAATTAGATTATGTAAGTATTTCCACAATTTTTTTTTATAAAAGTTTTATAAAATTTGTTACCTGTTTTATAAATACAAATTGCCACATATTAACTATTTATGTGCTATGTCTATAAATGTCTCTCATCCAAGAAATACTTTTAAAAATGAATTTTTTTGAAATAAAAATTCAGAAAAAATGTGAAATAGTCGAAAGCTTGTGTTAATTATAAAATTAAATATATTTATTGGGTAAAGTCGCAAATTTCATAAAACACCTACTATTAATACATAAATTTGTAAAAGTTATTTTCGATCGAAAGTTAACCAATCAGAGCAAGGCATTCTCCACAGCACAATAAAAAAAAACAAAAAATAAAAACTTTTTATTTATTTAGTTGGTAGTTTGAATTATTAAAAAAAATATTGCGCCCTTACTTTGCTTTAATGGCATCGACTTAATTTACGGTGACGACGGTTTTGGTTTTATTTTTTCGTTTTATTAGGTATTTTGTCAACCGAAATCTTTGCTTGTCAAGCATTACCAAGGGATGGAACAATTACATGATACGTATTATTTGTTTAATGTGCTGTTTTTGCTTTAAGTCAATTAGTTCAAGTTTATTTTCATCAACTCTAAAATGTGTTTATTTTTTATAAATCATGCGCAGTGTGTTTCACTAAATTATGAAAAATGTGCACTGTATATTAACTTTTATTTTATTATACATACGGTATATTATACCATATATTGTAAGTAGGTGGACATGAAAAAATAAATTGTTATTTCCATTTTATGTTGTTTTTTTTTCTTCCTTTTTTTTACCTCAAACTATATTTTAACAGAGTGGAGTGCTCCAATTGGTTAATTACTTATAAATCTACCCAATAAGCAATTTCCCGGACAACATTCGTGATATTCATACGAACATCATGTTGTGATTTTCACAAATTTTATTCATACTGATATCATACGGAAGTTACCGCGTGATAATTTTATTCATACGGACATCATCCGGATGTCACTGCGTGAGAAATGAAAATATTTCAACAGAGTGGAGTGCTCCAATTGGTTAATTACTTATAAATCTACCCAATAAACAATTTGTATTACTAAGTATAATGAAAAGTTGTGTAAAGGTAAGTATAGAGAAGTTTAACAAGGTTTTATAAAATCCCCAATTTTCTTTATGAGTTTTATATTGGTCACATAAGGTTACTGTAACCTCTAGTTATATAATTAGATTATGTAAGTATTTCCACAATTTTTTTTATAAAAGTTATACCTAAATTTTTTACCTGTTTTATAAATACAAATTGCCACGTATTAATTATTTATGTGCTATGTCTATAAATGTCTCTCATCCAAGAAATACTTTTAAAAATGAATTTTTTTGAAATAAAAATTCAGAAAAAATGTGAAATAGTCGAAAGCTTGTGTTAATTATAAAATTAAATATATTTATTGGGTAAAGTCGCAAATTTCATAAAACACCTACTATTAATACATAAATTTGTAAAAGTTATTTTCGATCGAAAGTTAACCAATCAGAGCAAGGCATTCTCCACAGCACAATAAAAAAAACAAAAAATAAAAACTTTTTATTTATTTAGTTGGTAGTTTGAATTATTAAAAAAAATATTGCGCCCTTACTTTGCCTTAATGGCATCGACTTAATTTACGGTGACGACGGTTTTGGTTTTATTTTTTCGTTTTATTAGGTATTTTGTCAACCGAAATCTTTGCTTGTCAAGCATTACCAAGGGATGGAACAATTACATGATACGTATTATTTGTTTAATGTGCTGTTTTTGCTTTAAGTCAATTAGTTCAAGTTTATTTTCATCAACTCTAAAATGTGTTTATTTTTTATAAATCATGCGCAGTGTGTTTCACTAAATTATGAAAAATGTGCACTGTATATTAACTTTTATTTTATTATACATACGGTATATTATACCATATATTGTAAGTAGGTGGACATGAAAAAATAAATTGTTATTTCCATTTTATGTTGTTTTTTTTTCTTCCTTTTTTTTTACCTCAAACTATATTTTAACAGAGTGGAGGGCTCCAATTGGTTAATTACTTATAAATCTACCCAATAAGCAATTTCCCGGACAACATTCGTGATATTCATACGAACATCATGTTGTGATTTTCACAAATTTTATTCATACTGATATCATACGGAAGTTACCGCGTGATAATTTTATTCATACGGACATCATCCGGATGTCACTGCGTGAGAAATGAAAATATTTCAACAGAGTGGAGTGCTCCAATTGGTTAATTACTTATAAATCTACCCAATAAACAATTTGTATTACTAAGTATAATGAAAAGTTGTGTAAAGGTAAGTATAGAGAAGTTTAACAAGGTTTTATAAAATCCCCAATTTTCTTTATGAGTTTTATATTGGTCACATAAGGTTACTGTAACCTCTAGTTATATAATTAGATTATGTAAGTATTTCCACAATTTTTTTTATAAAAGTTATACCTAAATTTTTTACCTGTTTTATAAATACAAATTGCCACGTATTAACTATTTATGTGCTATGTCTATAAATGTCTCTCATCCAAGAAATACTTTTAAAAATGAATTTTTTTGAAATAAAAATTCAGAAAAAATTGTGAAATAGTCGAAAGCTTATGTTAATTATAAAATTAAATAAAATAAATTGTTATTTCCATTTTATGTTTTTTTTTCTTCCTTTTTTTTACCTCAAACTATATTTCAACAGAGTGGAGTGCTCCAATTGGTTAATTACTTATAAAAACTACCCAATAAACAATTTGTATTACTAAGGATAATGATAAGAGTTGTATAAAGGACCTTTATTACCTTTATTAAAGGTAAGTATAGAGGAGTATAACAAGATTTTATAAAATCCCCCAATTTCTTTTTGAGTTTTACATTGGTCACATAGGGTTACTGTAACCTCTAGTTATATAATTAGGTTATGCTGGATTTCCATATATTTTTTATAAAAGTTATAAAATTTTTACCTGTTTTATAAATACAAATTGCAACGTATTAATTATTTATGTGCTATGTCTATAAATAGGAATACTTTTTAAAAATAAATTTTTTGAAATAAAAATTCAGAAAAAAATGTAAAATAGTCGAAAGCTTATGTTAATTATAAAAATAAATTTATTTATTAGGTAAAGTCGCAAATTTCATAAAACACCTACTACATACAGAAATTTATTTATTTATTTTCGATCGAAAGTTAACCAACCAGAGCACAGCAATCTCCACAGCACAAAATATAAAAACTTTTTATTTATTTAGTTGGTAGTTTGCAGTATTAAAAAAAATATTGGTGTAATAAAAATATATTTAATTGATGAAGTAAAGTATATAAATAATCATGGTATTTACTTAAAAATTATATGAAATAGTGACTCATATTTGCCTAAAATGCTAGTAGTTAAAGCTTTAATTAATATAAACAAAATTTTAACTTGTTTTTAAACCATTTACGATTTAAAAGTATCCTATAGTAGGCACAGTTTTTGTTTCTTTTAGTTGGTACTAGTTTAGATCACGGAAATGCGCGGTCATTTTTAATACAAAGCATACTAGGATAGATTTAGTTCGTAAAATGCTGAGCCAAAAACCGTCAGAACGCAATTTATAACGTTTTACACAGTAATCTTTTGATATTCAATAATTCAGCCTTGGTTGAGAAGATAAAAACAATCGTTAAAATATGTCACTCAATTAAGCTCTTCCTAACAAAGCCTAAATTAAAAAATACATGTTTTTTTATTCGGAATTTGATTATTTTGGTACTGTATGTCAATATACTTTGGTATTTTTAATATTTAAAATTGGTACTCCTTCATTTTAAATACTTTGACATTTAATTGTCAAAATTATAATAAACAATGCCACAGATAACAAAATGAAATTTTAAAAACAAAACAGCATTTTGATGAAAAATGGCACAAAGGAAATGATTAACCGGCTATAAGATTTTAACGTTTAATGACTTTATGGGACAAAAGTATTCACACAAATCTTTTAAATATTTTTTAATTTTTTCATATAAATTACTGCATTTCTTTTTAAAAGGACAAACTGAATATTATCAAAAAATAAATATATATTTCTACGCTGGAAATTCCGTAGTCACCTATATTTCATCAAAGGATATTTCATTTCTTTACAACCTATATTTGACATTTCAAAATTTATAAACATATAACATAACCACAATAATATTTTCCACTAAATTAGTTTGTTTTACTTATTGTAGACAATTGTAAATTAAGGGTACCTAGTATTTTCCAACCAAACCCTCAAATTTTTGACATCAAATTCCGAAATAAAAACAAACTGTATTTGCTCATTTTTTTTTACACCCGGCATAAAACGTAAAACAACTGGACAGACTTAACAGTATAATGTATATACAAATAAATAATAATTTTTTTACTGATACAAATAAAAGATATTGAATAACACAGCCTTAGGCAATTAAAATATCCAACGCTTTGTCTTTGTCATTATTGCACTGAATTAGGGCACTAGAAACAGCACTCTCTGCAAATCCTAAATCCAGGAGATCTGTGAGTGCTAGCAAATGGTCTACAACCTAAAAATATTTAAAAAGTCAGGTACATAAATTGATTTTGATTAAAAAAGTTTGTTATTGTAATGTTTTGGGACTATTTATTTAAATAAAAGTTTGAGTAAGGAAGAGAGTGAATATTTGCCAAATGTGAACCAAAAAATGGCGTCGCACATTTGTAGGTTATGTAGAAGGGGAAACACCTTAAAGCGACGCCATTTTTTGGTTCAAGCTATAATAAAAAGAGAACAATTTTTTATACGAGTTTTAAAACTTTGCAAGAGAATGTCTAGTTAAAACAAATTATTAATTTTCCAAAAAGTTCCTTTTTTACAATGTTTCTAAAAAATCTGTTTACCTTTTTTTGATCGCTTCCTAGTAGTTTAATAATCCTATATACCCTCTCTGGGGGGAATCCCATGGAACTAATTGATCTGCATAAATCCTGTTCGGATTGTGGCAATTTAGAAAAAAAATCATCCACATTAGTTTTCAGTTTCGGTTTTGGGTATACAGCCTCAACCTTTTTAAGCCTTGTCTCATTTATTTCTTTTTGGTTGTTTATATGTGTGTTATTCAGTTCTGTTTCCAATGATTTAATAATATCTGGGTAACTCTTGGTTGCATCTTGTGATGTATTACTATAAGTATTATCCATTTGATTGTACAAGTATGGCTGATGAAAAGATCTGCTTGAATCGTAGTAGTAACCGTTTGTATGGGAATAATTGGAAGTCTGGGCCATGTAAGGCATGTTAGGAACATAATATTGACTATTATTTGTGTAGGTGCTGTAACTTGGCTGAATTTGAGCAGCTGATTGCATTGAGGGAAATGTGGGGGTATTTCTGTGGGTGGAATCATCAGTTTTTAAAACTTGCGCCAACTCCTCCAAATCGTTGATGGATTTTAATGCCATGTTATCAAAGGGACTAGAAGTATCATCTTCAAAATCAGATATGTTAAAAGGGCTTTTATCAATAGGCTTGCTCGTGTAAGCTTGAGAACCTAGTGGAATTGGAGTTAGAATGTTGGAGGCCTGTGTAGGCATCAAAATACTGTTATCAGTGGAATATGTTTTTGATATTTCACTAGCATGTACTTCCTGCTCTTCCTTAACCTTCTCTTCTTCCTCTTTTCGGTTTATTTCCTTTTTTTTGACTTCTTCTCTCAAAACGTCCAGCCTTGCCTTACGCTCTTCTTTATAAGCAGTCTTAGCCAAATTCCATTCTTTCATCTTCGCCAGAATGTTTTTTTCCAGCGTGAATTCGTATTTCGGAATCGTACTTTGCATTTGTTTGTTTAAGTTTAATCTTTGAGAATATGACATAGGAAGATTAATTCGATGTGGTGGCTTATATCGCTCTGAGATTTTTACTTTAATATTGTCAGCGTTAGAGTCATGACTTTGTTTATTAGACATTGCAAATTCTGGAAAATAGCAAAACAATGACTATTATGAGTGAATCATTTAGGAATTTTTGCATTACTCACCCCAAGTTTTGATTATTGTTGCAAAAATTACCAAAAATTTTTTAGGAATACTTTGTGATAAACCAAATTTTTACATTTATATGTGGCACTATTTAATTATTATTTAATATCGTTATTAAATATTTTTGATCCTGTCACTACATGACATTTCCTGACAAAACATCTAGTTATTTAGTTATGTTAAGTTGGCAGTCTAGCCCATAAACAAAAACAAAATCTATTGACATTGAAATATGTAATAATAGTATACAATTTTGAGTTGAACGGCCTTGTTAGAGTTTTAAAATATGCAAAATAATGTAATCAGATATATAATAATTATAAATTGTATTAACAAGTACCATTATTTTTTAAAATTGGATTTAAAGTAAAAATGTGAGTGTTTTATGTCAATGGTTTTTGGAATGTTTTCATGGGTGGATTTAAAATTTTGCCGTTGGTAGGCCTGTGTAACCAGAGTAATTTGACGGTCTTCCAACTAACTTTTTGTTACTGGTGATTTAATTCTTGATTGTAATTAATTAACACAATTCATTGAATTTATGAATATTTTTTATTTCATGGCTTTTTCAGTGTTGTGCAATACCATTACTATGCCGAGATAACAGAAGAAAATCCCGACAATTTTACGTTTGTAAATTAAATCCACAATATTTTTTATTTTTGAGAGACTTTATTTTTACAAAAATGACTGAATATAAACTAGTAGTAGTAGGAGCGGGTGGTGTAGGGAAGTCGGCGTTAACAATTCAGCTGATACAGAACCACTTTGTGGATGAATATGACCCTACCATAGAGGATTCCTATCGAAAGCAAGTGGTTATAGATGGGGAAACATGTTTACTGGATATTTTAGATACTGCTGGTCAAGAAGAATACAGTGCAATGAGGGATCAATACATGAGAACTGGGGAAGGTTTTCTGTTGGTTTTTGCAGTTAATTCAGCCAAAAGTTTCGAGGATATCGGGACATACAGGGAGCAAATCAAAAGGGTAAAAGATGCCGAAGAAGTTCCAATGGTTCTTGTGGGAAATAAATGTGATTTATCGCCGTTGGTTGATATGAACCAAGCTAAAGAGGTAAGTAGTATTGCATGGAAAGAAAATAGCAAAACTTAATGTTCTTTATACCTATTTGGACAATTTTGGGGTCTTGTTGAATATTAATACTAAGGAACCAACAATAAACAATTACTTTAAATAAATTATTCTTAAAACCTTTTTAACTTATGATAACTTTACCACATAAAATTACCATTTACATATCTCATATGAGTATGAGTATCTCATATTTTATAAAAAAAAATACCATTAAATAAATAATAATAAATTTATTTGCCCAACAGAAAAAATTCCAATTACAGGAACAAAAAATAAAAAAAATAAAACTAAACTAAAAATATAAAATAACTTATACATTAGTAAATCTATAAACAAAAATAAACTAATTAATACTTAAAAAAGTACAAATAATAAACCACAATTCAATATCACAATATCACACATGAGAGATATTTTATTAAAGTTGGTACACATAATAAACATTGGTGACAATAAGTAAATGTAATTGTTAAAGCAGAGCCTTAAGGCTTTTACTATCAAAAAACAATTGACCCAATTTAGAATGTTAAACATGATCAAAAATTTCAATACAAACATAAAAAGTCAATACCAACATTTTTGCTAAATGGATTTAAATTATTGATTTAGAAGGTAATAATGATTATGAAAGCGTGAAATGTGGATAATTATCAAGATAAGGAGGTAGATTTTGGATAGAGATAAATATGGATATTGATTAAGAAAGATTTGGTATTAAAATAAATAAAATGTATAAAACTTATTCCTGTAATTGGGCCCTGTGCCTGTTGGATATAAATAAATAATAATAATAATAAATAAAAATGTCAGACATAAATATTAAAAGAACTCTACTTAGGTACTTAAGAATGTTAAAAGTGTCCTATTTTAAAGTGTACTGTGCTCCACATCAAAATATATTCTTTATAAGGAATGCAGTCAAATAATAAAGTTAAGTAGGTATGTTGCTTTATTAAACCGGGTTTTATCTTAATAATAATAAATAATAATAAAATAAACTTTATTGGATTACTCCAAAAGGCTCACAACCTTAGTCTTACAGCCTTAATCTTATTTTCTGAAAATAATACCAATTTGTTATCATTATTATCAGAAAATAAGATACATAACTTAAATTATTTGACTGCATTCCCAATTCAGTGTGGGACTTTTTGATGTGGAACAAAGTAAAAAAATTTTATTTAATGCATTTAAAAACGTAATTAGGAAAGATTAAAACGCAATAAAAATATTAACATAAAAAAATGTAGGCAAAGAACGTAATTTTAAAAAAGTGGACTATTTAATGAGCTACAAGGTTGGTTAAATTAAAGAAAAGTTGCGTAATTACAAGTTCATTAAAACGGCATTCACAGATTGAAAAAAAATCAGCGGTTCTCAAATAATTTGGAAAAAACTGAAAACATGTCAAAACGAAAAATCGTTATAACTTCGTTATTTTTGGAAATTAAAAAAAAAAGTAAGTTTCACATGTAAACGTACACATTTATCTACATTTTCATCCAATTTGTGATTTTTTTCGTCTACTAGATTTTAAACTACCACCACCATCTTTTGTTTTCCCTATGGCTGCCATATTGAAAATGTACATGGTTAGATAGAAAAAAAATTAATTGGATTGGATGAAAATGTAGATATATGTGTATTTACATGTAAAACTTACTTTTTCAACATTCCCAAGAATAACGTAGTTATATCTATTTTGGTTTTGATATTTTTAGTTTTTTGCAAATATTTTAAGAATCGCTGGCTTTTTTCTAATTTAATTTTTAATCTTGTAACTGTTTAAATTTTTTTTTTTTATTTAAAAAAAATAAAAGCTATGGTTGATCTAAAGGAACAATGCCAATTATAAAGTGGTATTCCAGCGAAACCACCTAGAGAAATCATTCAAACTGCCTATTGCAAATATTATCAAAAATCGAAAACCCATCTTGTACAATCAATAATAAGTCAAACATTTACTTACCAGTCATTCTTTTCTGATATTTTTTCAAATAAAAACTATACTGCAAATTCCACTGAAATCTGACAGACAAAACGCGATGCAGTACTTTAAGAGCATAGTAAAAAAATTACGGATAGATGGCACCACAAGCTATAATTATCACATACTTCCCATACTGCTTATTCACTATATTTTGTTTAGATGACTCTTTTTTGAGGGGAAATTTGTCGATTTGCCGTATGATCTTAACTTATGCGTCAGTTCATAAGGGGGGATTTAATATGATACGAATTCTCAGCTAAATAAAATTTAGGTTATATCAAATTTTTCTAAATCATTTGCTTACATCGCCTAGGTTAAGCTCACATACATTTCTGTAATTTGGTTTTATAAAAAGCAAAAAGTGGTATAATATGCATATTATGTAAAAGCCACTAAAAATCTCGTTAACAAAATGGAAAAAAACAATGCCAAAACAATTGGTATACAACAAAAAACAAACATAATGGTTAATTATAAAACCATCTACATATGTCTATGATAAAAACATTTTGGCTATCATGGTCGAAATACGACGTTGCCAAATTCTTACTGTTATAAGGGTCATTATACTTTTAGCCCCATCTACCTTTAAAAAATATTCATATCCATTGTGACTATTATTTAGGCAAACTAAAGGTAATTCTAATGTTACTCTCAGCAGTAAAGTTTCTCTTAAAGAGTCTCTTATTTTTAAGTTTTAATGTCATAGCGATAGCAGTGTAGGTTGACAAAAGAGACATGTGATGAAGAAGACATTTTTCACAATAAAAAAATCTATTTTCCAAGTTACACAATAAATGCACAAGAAACATTGCATTCATTAAAAAGAAAGAAATTGGTTTACTTTACATGAAAAAGAAAATTTAATACTACATATACTTACCGAGTAATTGCCATGACGAAAGATAACCTTCAAAAACACTGGCTGCTTGTTTGTAACGCGCAAAATAACAATATCGGCGCCATCTCGTGCCACAGTTATAAACTACATGGGTTACAGATTTATTTTATATGTAATGCTAAGCCCTCTGTATTTTATAACAAAGCTGTTTTTATTCAGGCGGTTTGTGACAAAGTAGACAAGGTTTGGTCACGCTTAAAAAATTATTCAGACATTTTATCACATTCTTTATTAGTACTGAGGCGCTACTTATTTCTTATTTCATTTTAGTTTTAAAATTCTGTTTCATACAAAACCTATGAAATATATCCAAGTTTTCACTATTGCAATATGATGGGGACATGGGGTTATAGAGTGTGATGCTAATTTTCAACCTTAATTAAGAAATTTATACAAATATATTTATATCTAATTGAAAAATTTTCTATTAATTTTTGTTGTTTTAAGTTCTTATTTATGAATCTAGTTCTATATTAGCCGTCTTAAATTATTATTGTTTTAATAAGAAATGTTAGGAACAACTGACAAATGGCAGAGAGCCTTAATGGTATAAAATGACCTATATATATATATTATAAGAATGGCATTATATAACCTAAAATATCATAATTTTGTGTGTTTATTATTGTTGAATTTTTTTTTATTCGATTTATTTAAAAGTATGTATTATATTTCCTAAATGATATTAATGTAAAAAAACATACAAACAAAAGGAGAAGTTCAGTACGCCACACTAGGTAGTTCACTGCTCTTCCACTTAAATAGGGACAAAAATAGGTTTTTTTTTAAACCGACAGTCCCGCCAAGCATGCGCCTCAATGCAATCATACGGGTATATCACTTCCCCTACTTTAACCCCACGAAAAGGAAACAGCCTCAGTTAGAAATGATTTGTATATGTGTGGAAGTATGTGATAATTATTAGGCTCCAAAACGATAGGACATAATACACTAACACTAGTTTACAGCCCTTTTGCCCACCATGTCACACTATGATTTGTCCAGTTTGATTTATTTTACGTAGTATACATTATACTTAAAGGGAAAAAATAAGCTGCTGTTGATAAAAATCCATGGATAAATGGCAAAGTTATGAATTTTTCAGTGGAAGAACAAAATTCAGTTTTTTCGAGAATTTTTACGTTTTTTTTTCATTTTATAGTTATACTTATATATATATAAGTTTAATATTGAACATTGATTTTTATGTTAAACATTAAATATTGAAATTAAATTATATATTGAATATTGAACAATAAATATTGAACATTGAAGATATTGAAACTTTCAATATCTTCAATGTTCAATATTTATATATAAACTCCTGGACAAAATTAACGCAACATCAAAAAATTTGCCACATTTTTTATGCTATTTTTTTGTTAAATTTATGATCCGATTTGAATGATTTTTGTTTTGCATTGTAGGTTGGTTCCTTGACAATGTCATAATTTTCGCTGTTTATGATAAAAAGTTCATTTTGGATTTATACCGGGTGTAATAAAAATGTACTGTTTTTTTCCGAAAATTCGTATCACCCTGTGGAGTATACTAGCAACCGAAACCTATAGCAGTTAACATTAGACGGTAGGTCCATATTTCGCCAACATATTCTTTTTTGGTTTACTTCATTATCTCTGTTATTAAAGGAGATACGCTGTTTTATAGCGTAACATGTTTTTATAGACTTTATTATTCAAAACATTAATTGTTAAATGTTTTCAAGTAGGCTATGGAAAATTCGCCATACTTATAACAACTGTTCGAAAACTGCTTATTAAATGTTCGTTTCGTATTTTAATCTTGAAAAATGAATCGTCCAAAAAATTTTTCGACAGAAGAAGCAGTAAGAGACTTAACTTTGGTGAATGAGGGCTATTCGATGTCATGTTGCTAATGTGATAGGAAGACATCGTTCGACTATAAGTCGTATGGTTAAACGATTTAACGAGACAGGATCTTACTCTTCAAGGTCAGGACAAGGGCGAAAACGATGTACCGATCCAAGGGATGAGCGTTTTATTAGGCAAACTGCTCTAGAAACAGGAAGATTACTAGTACAAGGCTAAAAAGTGAGCTTAGAACTGCTTGCCATAATACAATATCGTCTCGAACAATCAGGAGACGTTTAAATGAGGTAGGAGAAGACCGGCAAAGAAACAATTACTTAAGTAATTGTTTCTTTGCCGGTCTTCTCCTTAATTACCATAGAGCACAGAGTTTCAAGATTGCGTTTTGCCAGAAATTATCATCATTGGACTGTTAATGATTGGAAGAATGTTTTATTTTCTGATGAAACGAGAGTTAGTCTCAATGCTCCTGATGGTGTGAACGTGTTTGGGGAAGGTCAGGAGAGAGATTTGCAAGTGGCAATATCTCTCCTAAAATCCCGTTTGGTGAAGGCTCAGTAATGATTTGGGGAGGAATATGCTTCAACGGACGCACAGAGTTAGTCCCTATACGTGTAAGATCAATGAACGCCGATTATTATCTAGAAAACATGTAATGCCATTTGTTCCTTTTTTGGGACCTAATAGTTTATTTATGCAGGATTATGCATTTATCAAAGCGAGCAGAAATTATACAATTATGCAGATAACAAATAATCTAAACATCTCTTGAAATGTCAGAAAAGGTCCATAGCCTACTTGAAAACATTTAACAATGATTGTTTTCAATAATAAAGTCTATAAAAACATGTTACGGTATAAAACGGCGTATCTCCTTTAATAACAGAGATAATAAAGTAAACCAAAAAAGAAAATGTTGGCGAAAGATGAACCTACCGTCTAATGTCAACTGCTATATGTTTCGGTTGCTAGTATACTCCACAGGGTGATACGAATTTTCGGAAAAAAACATTACATTTTTATTACACCCGGTATAAATTGAAAATGAACTTTTTATCATAAACAGCGAAAATTATGACATTGTCAAGGAACCAACCTACAATGCAAAAAAAAATCATTCAAATCGGATCATAAATTCAACAAAAAAATAGCATAAAAAATGTGGCAAATTTTTTGATGTTGCGTTAATTTTGTCCAGGAGTTTATATATATATATATTTATTACAACAAAATAAAACTTTCAATTTGAAAGTTTTATTTTGTTGTAATAAGCATAGGTTTAAAAAAATCTGGCTCCTTTTTTGTTTTTTGTTGCTTTCGTATTCCGTTTCTCGTACAAGGGACCAAATGTAATCACCCAGAAACCGTGGTACCGCCGCTCCATAGCCTTCATTTGCTGGTGAAAACGTTCTCCGTGCTCATCACTAACGTCGCCCAGATTGTCCGGGTTATTTACGCACTCGAACTCTCTACTTATTTTACACTTTTTATTAACTAAATAAAACCATGATAAAAATACTCTGTTAAAATATCAAAAAATAGCAGTAAAATGTCACTATGCCAACACGAGAAACAAAAGAATTCACGTTTGCGGAGTCATGTCAAATTTAAATTTTATATAATGTTTTCGGTGATAAAAGTACATAAAAAACTTTAAAAATTCCAATCATGCACTTTAATTAGGTTTTCATTAAAAAATAAACATATTACGAAATAAAAATCGTCAAAAAGCTGAATTCATAACTTCGCCAAACTGGAGTTATCTGTTTGATTTAAACCTTTCCCAGGACGATAAGTAAATTTTCTACCTCAATTTTTGCCATAAAAACGCTAGCGTCAAAATACTTATCCGATGTAAAATAAAGTTTTAGAGGGCTCAAATACCTTCAATTTAAGGGCTTGTTTGACCAAATCGATCAATTAGATTTCAAGCTATACTCAAAAACGTCAATACACCTCCGAAAATTAAAAAAAAACAATTGAAAATTATTATTTCAAAAACGCTTCCATAAAATTTTTTGTTGTTGTGATTTTCATGTTTAGTGGGTCAAAATTAGGGTTGCAACTTTTCATGAAAAGTTGAAATTTTTGAAAAGTTGGATTTTATTTTTCGGAAAAGTTGGAAAAGATGGAAAAGTTGAGTTTTTTGTAATGTAAACGTATAAAACATGCTTGTCAATATATTAAAATAATTTATTTCTTATGTATTTATACATACGTAACAAGTTGTTTTATAACAAAATTACAAAATAAAATGAACAGACAACATAATCACAACAAAAATAAACTAGGTTTGAGTTAAAAAAATCATATTTTTTAAGTAAAAAAGAATAGAAATTTATACACACCATAAAAAACAGATACGAAATAAAAAATAATTACAAAAAAATATGAAGCAAAAATTATTAAATTTATTGTTGTTTTAAATTATGGAAATTTACAAGTAAAAATTTAAAAAGAAAAACAATCTTTATATAATAGAAAATGCTGTTAGCAAACAATGATTTTAGCACGTTTTACAAAAAACACTTCAAATCTAGCGATTTATATCGAATTTTGACCAAATTATCTACCGAAAAAAATTGATGGTATTGGAAACACTAGTTACAAGTCAACTCATTGTTCATTGGCTCCTACCTAATAACTTTTCCAACTTTTCATAGGGGGTGCCGAACTTTTCCAACTTTTCGACCGAACTTTTCCTTGTTTGCAACACTAGATATGGTGGGCAGAATTTTTTTTTGATTTTGTAAACTACCTAGTGTAATTTGTTAAAACGCTACAAGGTTTTAAATTCAGCTGCACTATTGATATTTAATTTATAACAGTGCAGCTACAGTTAGAACCGAGGTACAGAAAAGGTGGTTTCACAATGAAACCACTGGAGACAAAATGGTTAAGATGTTTAGTTAACAACTTCTTTAATATTAAAAATTTTATTTTTAGATTGCCAAGCAATATGGAATACCGTTCGTCGAGACTTCGGCAAAAACTCGAATGGGAGTCGACGATGCTTTTTACACGCTGGTGCGCGAAATCCGAAAAGACAAGACAAAACGACGCGCCCCCAAAACGGGCACCCACATCCGTTCACCTTTCTCCAAGTTCCGCTGCTCCATTCTATAGAAGGGTAAGTTATTGCTGTTATTTCGCGATTTCGTCACTTGATTAATTAAAACTTAGGGTGCGTAGGAAAGCGGCCACCGATGATCTCCCCCGGTCAGCACACAGTGCGTTGTTGCCTTTTGCCGCAGCCGTTCGTTATGGAAATCAATTTTTTGACAGTTTGTGTGTGCGCGCGATACAAAAATAATGGGTAACCACTAGGGTGTTTCATTTAAAACGAAATTTTTTTTTTCTTGCTGACACATGAAAATTTTATTTTTTAGGTTGAAAAAAAAATTCCCTGAAAATTTGACCCCTAAATTTTGATTTTAAGTACCTACTTCCTTTTTAATTTTGTAGTTTTTAGCATGTATTTTTAATCATTTTTACTTTAAATTTCTATATTTTGGCCGGGTTTTGAATTATAATTTTATCACCATAATTTCCTGCATAGTATTCACGGTTTTTGAAAGGCCCTGCATCAATTTTGTTTTTGATTTATTTACGTTGATTGTAGTAGCTCCAAAAGTCGTTTTTTCACTCTTTTCACATATTTTTGAGAAAATCGAGCGAATGACTGGTTTTACCGAAAAAGTTCAAATAAAAAAGTTGTAGAAAATTTAATTTTTGACAAAAAAGGTTTTTACGTTCATATCACCAAAGTGCTTTGTTTAAGAGATAAAAGCAATATATAGTTGTTGAATCTAATTACATAAATTTCAATAAAACCTATTTTTTCTTTGTTTTTGGTTATTGAATTGCTAATATCTCTTAAACAACGCACTTTAGTGATAAGAACGTAAGAACCTTTTTTGTCATTTCCTACAACTTTTTTATTTGAACTTTTTCGGTAAAACCAGTCATTCGCTCGATTTTCTCAAAAATATGTGAGAAAAAGTGAAAAAACGATATTTGGAGCTACTACAATCAACGAAAATAAATCAAAAACAAAATTGATGCAGGGCCTTTCAAAAACCGTGAATACTATGCAGGAAATTATGGTGATAAAAATTATAATTCAAAACCCAGCCAAAATATAGAAATTTAAAGTAAAAATGATAAAAAATACATGCTTTTTATATGTATATGGAAAAACTACAAAATTAAAAAGGAAGTACTTAGAATAAAAGTTAAGGACTCAAATTTTCAGGGAATTTTTTTTTTTCAACCTAAAAAACAAAATTTTCATGTGTCAGCAAGAAAAAAATAATTTCGTTTTGAATGAAACACCCTAGTAACCACGACCACCTTGTCGTTTGTAATGTCTGTCTTTTCGCTTTAAATTTATCCAACGGTGTCGAATCTGTCGCCGGAATTAAGTTTTTTGGTCCAACAATGTTGCCAAGTTGTCCGACAAAAAAAATAGGGTTCTGGCAACATTTTCAGACGCAAATTTCCGATGATAGGTTTGGTTTTGTACTCACCGACAATTTGATTGCCTATTAGGATAGTATATTTTTATTATTAAATATTTTTATTGCAAGACGCGAACGATAATCAAGGCTAAATATGGCGATGTAATATTATTTTTAAGTTTTAACATTTACAGTCCCTGGCCAATTTATTAGACTCGCTTACAAATTTTCTTTAGTTTCGGGAATTTGTAAAATAGTCGCGACATATTCTCACAAAAATTTATTTTTGAAAAATGCTTAAAATAGGTACTTCACAACCAAACCAACCTTTTGGATGAGTTTTAACACCCAAAAAAGTAGTTTTTTTGGAAAATATTAATTTCGTTATATATAATATAAAATTATCTACACCATTGCTACCATTTTAACTCCGTTATTATTGGAGCTATTAAGTCGGTTAAATTAACAAATTGGTGGCATTTTTTCTTCTGATTTAAATGGTGAAAACAGAAAAAACAATTGAACGTCGGGTTTTCGAAATATTCACAAAAATAACATTTTTAAATGGTACACCATGTATATTTTTACATGTTGTAAAAGATAATTTATTTTGGAACAAAAAATTAGTATTGCTTAACTACACACAAATTAAAAATAAACATTTATTAAGCACTTGAAATTGTCTTTCAAAATATGTAAATTATACAGTGTTACATTTAAAAAAATATTATTTTTGTGAATATTTCGGAAACCCGACATTCAATTGTTTTTCTGTTTTCACCATTTTATTCAGAAGAAACAATTTTCAATTTTATCGTAAAAATTTGTTTATGAGAATATATTGAATATTTTACAAATTCCCAAAATTAAAGAAACTTTGTGTATGTTTATAAATTCGCCAGGGGCTGTAAATCCTATTTTATTGCTGATAATTAAATACGAATAATTGCTTTTTTAAGTTTCTGAATAATACTCGCGAGGTTTATAGCGAAACGACAAACAAAAGGGCTTTTTTGAGAAGTTCTTGTGTAAAAAAACTTAAAAGGTATTTTCGTCCTATTTAATATAACAAGTTCTTGTTTTTGTATAATACATATAATGCCTTTAAATTACTGTACATATTTTTAGTTTGCCATTGTTTACGCACATCAATGTGACTTTATTATAAAGAGGATCTTTACAAGTCTTATGAAAAATTTATACCTTCAAGAAAAATATAAATGTGATTATAACAGTGCTATACATGTTTGTGTGGGTAATTTGTAAATAAGTTTTTATTATTTTATTTAAATTGTTTTTAGAAGTTTAATAATGTAATAATGCACATAAATAAATAAACGATATTTTTTAAATATTCATTGTTAATATGGGCTCACAATGTATTATAGAAACGTATACATACATGTGGTGATAAAAACAGACAGGTTTTCTTAACATATATAATAATTCAAAAGCTTGGAAATATTGGAATTAGCAATAAAATGGAACGTACTATGATGCTTGTTTTATGAATTGTTATGCTCTATAGACTATATAGAAGCCTAACTAGACGTTTAGCAATGATAGACATATCAATGTTGATAAATTATTTTTTACCCAAAATCATTCCCTATAAAACATTGGCAACCAAAATCAACTGATCTAAACCAGTTCGTAAAATTAGTGATTAATGATACAAAAATGGTCCGTGTAGTGCTCTGATTGGTTTATTGCTTTCTATAGAGATCACTTTCTATAGAAAGTGAGTAGCAAATTTCACTGTTAATTACTTTAAATTTTGGAACTAGAAAAATCAATTTTTATTCAACCTTCCTTAAATGCAAAAGTTTGAGATTAGATCGTTCCAAATATTTCAATTTTTTTAGGCAGATTTTATAAACAAATACTTTTTCCAATTTGGGATTTTTCAATCCCAAAATGTTCCTACTAGGTTTTTTACAAATGGTTGGATAAAAACCCATTTATTTAAATTGTCAAAAAATCCAAAATTTTCCATAAAATTTTAAAATAAAATTAGGGGTGTTTTTTTGTATCGCAAACAAAAAAAATATTTCAGGCAAATTTAAATTTCGACTTCCATTACTATAATGTGTGTGTACTATACAAACTTAAATCTATTTTTGTATTTCAAAAAAGAAAATATTTAAAAATCTGCCCTAATTCCCAACATTTTTAAATAAATCTCTCACCATTGTATTTAATAAGTTTTGCTTACCACCCTGTCATAAACCTTAACATATCATGTTTTAGTTGCACAAAGTATAAAATCTGTGTCTCATGAAAATAAAAATATTGTAATTGATCCTCTTTAATGTTACTAGGAACTATTGTATTACATTTTATAATGAAATTATGTTTTTAACTTTTTATTACCGCTATAAATAATTTTCTATGAGATTTCTTAATGTTATACTAATATAGATTTAATTTCATATATTATCAAAACAAACAATTTTATTTGCTGGATTTCTAGTTACAAAAATTTAAAAAACACCCAGACCAAAACAGAGGCATAAATCTAACAAATAAAATGTTTATGTAGTGTTTAGTTTAGAATTATCGAATACTAAAATCTTCTTAATAATAAAAATGTTAAATGACAATATTGTTTAATTTTTCCTCGTGTTTAATCCTTAACATATTATATACAGGGTGTCCCAAAATCACCAAAGAAAGGAGTCGATTCCTAAATCTAAGACAATATGTCCCTTGGCATTTTTTCGACTTTGTTGAATTTCAAGTCGAATTTTGTATTTTTTTGAATTCGAAAAATTGCAGGAGTTATTTAGTTTTTAATGCCACCTTTTGACTTCTAAAAACGTAAAACATAAAACAATTTTCTTAAAATCAAACTAAAAATTATTTTTGCATTTTTAGTTGGATTTTAAAAGAATTGTTTTAGCCGAATCATATAATAAAAATTCATAGCAGACTTCGACTTGGGTTTTAAAATTTCCGGAAAAATCGGGAAATATTCAGAAAAATTGACTTTTGCATTTATTTATTTTAAAGGGTAATATGAGAAAAATTAAAAAGTCAATTTTTCTGAAAATTTCTCATGTTTTACGTATAATATCTGTCCACTGATATCTATTTACTGACTTAAATTATAATCATATAAAACTATGATTATAATAATTATTCCTATTATTTTAATTTAGTAAGAATATTCTACCAGGCCGCAAAAAAAACATATTTGGTGCTATATTAACATGACTATCGTTTTATTTGTCACATCGATTTAAAAAATAATTTTGTAATTTTACTTTGTAAATCATTTATTATTATGTTAATGGATATTTTCAATAGAGTGCCTTTAGCAAAAAATATGACACTCCGTTTTAATATAAAAAAAAAATTAATTTAAAATTTTCCCAACCAAAAATTTTAGGTTTGCATTTATAAATTTAATATATTTTCAACTACCATGTATTGAAAGACAAAATTTACTAACAGTTCACTTCTGTATTAAACAATTTTTGCATTTTTTAATAAAAATAATTTATTTGGGCAGAATTTTTTAAATCTTAAATAAATATTTTATAAAATTATTTATATTTAATTGGAAAACTTAATTTTTTTTGTATTTATAAATAGCGTCAAGACATTTAAAATAAAAACATAAAAAAAAATTTAGCAAAATTATTTTAAAAATTTAGCAAAATTATTTTAAATAGTTTAAAAAGTTAAATTAAACTCAAAACAATTGAGAATCAAATATTTTAAATATAAAATGCAAATGTAAAAATATAAAGGGAAAAATGTTTTTTTGAAAATATACACAATTTAGTAAAAGTAGCAATAAACTTAAAATTAAATAATAATAATTATTAAAATTATTTTAATTAAAAAATATCGTTTATTACTAAAAAACAAATGAAACTAAACATTGATTTGAATTTAATTGATTTAAGAAAATAAAATAAAACGTTAAATATACGGTTGGTTTGGTCATTTTTTATGGCACACCGTTTTAGCATTTATTAGATAATAGTTTTAAGATTAAAGTATAGCACTTTAATGATGTTTCAAATGATAGTCGATAAATTTTTAATCAAAAAATTTAAAACTAACATTTAAATGAACGAATTTTTGTATTCCTCATTTAAATGACTCTTTACAAATTTAAATCAATAATTTTACAGAATAAAATATTAAAACAATTTTTTTAAAAACCAATATTTTAAACTTAATTTTTTTACATTTGTACTTTATATTTAAAATATTGTTTTACTATCGTTTTGAGTTTAAAAAAATGTGCCATAAAAAAACAAACAGTATACTAGGTATACCTATATTTAATGTTTTATTTTATTTTCTTAAATCAATTAAATTCAATTCCATGTTTAGTTTTTTTGTAATAAAGGATATTTTTTTTTAATTAAAATATTTTTAAATGGTTTATTGCTACTTTTACTAAGTTGTGTATATTTTCAAAAAAACATTTTTTCAAGAAAACAATTTTCCCTGAAAAGACATTTTTTCCAAAGCCTGGAAAAAACCGAATGCGCGAGCTGTTTGCACCAAAAATAAAAATAGAGCATATCTAGTCAAAAAGGGAATAAAAACTCATATTATTATAAATACTTTAATAATTAATACAAAAATAAAGAACATGTTCATATAATTTTCTTCTGGTGGGGTTTTAAAAACATATTATCTTCTGGCATTAAAATCCTAAAACAAAAAAATTAAACAACCTTAAAAAAATATTCGTCAATATAAATATTGACTTACATATTGGCATTGGTTGCCATACCAGGCACAGCTATGGCAGTTAGTTTGGGCTCATCTGGAACCTTGACTGTCAAAGTGGATCTGGGACCTGTTTTCCATGTGTTGCTGTGCTCGTCAATGACCGCCGCTTCAACCACCAGGAGATACTGACCGCCTTTGGGAAAGGCCAGTAAGAATTGCGCCGTGAAGAAGTCTTTGTGAGGAGCCACTGTCTGGGTGAGTACTGAACACAACTCCACGTTCTAAAAAAATTTGTAAGTTTTTTTCTTTCGGCGAAATGAGAGTAAAATTTTAAAATAAAACGGAAGTTGCGCGCGCATCAGGCACGCACAGCGAAAATTCGAAACAGATAAGTCAGCCGTCTTAAAAAATTGATATAAGGGATTTGGGTTGAAATTTCCCTAGATCTAGGTAAAAACGACATGCCTCTGCGTAAAACGAAATTTTTTACGAATTATGGATTTTTTACTTTTTTTTTGATTTATTAAAATAAAAAATGTATAAAATCAGTGCAATTTACGATCAAATACACTGCGCGTCAAAATTAACGCATAAGAAGTAAAAAAAAATCCAACTCTAAAACGCCTTTACCAATCTTTATAAAATTTTACCAATCTTTATAAAATTTTGGATAAAAATACTTTAACTTATATCTCAGTTTACGTGTTCAAGGGTTTTTCGAGAAAATATCCTTAAAGCCCTTTTATTTAATAATAAAAAACGCTCGAAAAAAAACTTTTATAGGGAATTTTTTTAAGTAAATAAAAAATATCCTGTGAAAGGCCGTATTTTTGTTAGTAAACCCGGAAAATGTTGTACAAATCAAACGAACAGTAACAAAAATACAGCGCTTCAAAGTCGTCAAAAATTACCATTTTTCAGCAAAATAATCAAAAAGGGGTCATTTTTACCGACTTTGAAGGGCTGTATCTTTGTTACTGTTCGTTTGATTTGTACAAAAATTTTAGGGTATACTAACAAAAATACGGCATTTTTTCTAGGCGTTTTAGAGTTAAATTTTTTTTACTTATTATGCTTAATTTTGGCGGGCAGTGTAATAAAGCAGGAATGCAATCTACAACTGTTTTGTTGCCGTCACGGACGGAGATAGAACAATTTAGTTTTGGGGGATTATTCAATTTTTTCAGGAAATTTATATATTTGGATCTGGTGAACATATATTCGCTTGTAAGTTCGTGGCGTAAGAAATGAGTGGCTGAACATATTATCGGTTTTATTTTGAACCAAAAAAACTAAACCACAAAAAATGTTTATCAATTTAAGTATTAGTTTGTCCGTTTCCCAATTGATTTTTTATTTGGGTACAATCTAAATCATTTGTTTATACAGGGTCCACGAAGTAAGTGTATATTTTTTTTTTACTGAAAAATTGGTTCTTAGGCACCTCTAGAAGTGCATGCTCACCAAATTTGAGCTCTTAATATTAACAGTAAGATCTTCATCACAGTTTACCATTTTTTCTTTAGTCCCTTATAAAAAGACCATATTTTATTATTAATTAATCGTTTAACCAAATATTTATACATATTTTTGTAGGAAATTGAATGCTCTATAAAAATGACTGTGTTTAAGCGATAACTATAACAATTTAAAAGATATTCAAGATAAAAGTTTAATTGATTACTTTAACCATTGAGAAGATATTCGTATCCGAATCCCAATGCGTACTGATACGAATATCTTCTCAACGGTTAGAGTAATCAATTAAACACAATAGACCTTTTTTGTACATTTCCTACAAAAATATGTCATACTCATTTGACAATAATTATTTTTAGGAAGCAGAGTTGCAAATAATCCATTATTTTTCTAATGCATTAAGCCTGAATTATAGATTGCCTTCCTCCCGTAGTCGTGCCCGTACGATTTGTGCGTCTTGTAAAAAGTCAATTTATAGATTTCCGTGTAAAATCCGTAACCATGCGCGATGACACCTAAAATTTGTTTTTGTTTAAATTCTGCGTTTTACCCATTGTGTGTAAATATGAAAGATAAACATTTATATATTAGTGCAGTGATCACAATTCTAATTGTCCAGGCTTGTTGTATTATAATAATGAAAAAAAATCATCGATCAAGACGTTGGAAGACTCGCCCACCAAGACCGGGAAACTACGGGGTTTTACAAAGCAACGTTTCTAAAAATGAAAGACATTGATCATAAAGAATATCTAAATATGCTATTTAGAGACACAAATTATTTAATAAACTGAACACCTATCTTAAATAATACTAAACAATCATGTATTTTAAATATTTTGTGCCTAAGCCCCGTCACCCTACAGCGCCTGTCCATAACAAGCACTGTGATTGGTCATGTCAAAGACCTTTACGGTGAAAGATAAAACTTAAAAATTTCTACGGGAGGAAGGAATGCTGTCCTTAAGTTACGGAAATCTATAAATGGCACTACGATTTAAATAAACATTTTTGACGTAATTGTCACCATTAACATTGCCCGTTATTAATTTTAATTTTACTTAACGATTATTAATACTTTAAAATATTAAAATAACTTGAAAATATGATTTTGTTAAGAAAATATTTTATCCTTTGATTTTTTTTATTACTATAATTGCATAATATTATCACAAAGTATTAAACATTTTTACACGGGAAATGTTAATGGTGACAATTACGTCAAAAATGTTTATTGGGTTTCGTATTGTTCATCTTCTACGGGAGGAAGGAAGGAAGGCAATCTATAATTCAGGCTTTAAGGTTTCAATACTCATTATTAAAATAATGAGTAATGGGTTTAAATTTTCGTTATGCATGACTTCTTTTTTAATGAATGTATTCTTATTTACACTACTCATTTATAATTTGTAATGAGTAATTTTAGATTTTCAATTATTTTTTTTTACGTAAATGAGTAATGTACTCACTTTACATTACTTCAAATTACTCATTTTTAGTGAGCAACATTTTTTTAAATTTTGCACGGTCTGTAATTAATGTAATATACTAAAATACAAATTTTATATTAAAATACTACATTTTCCCAAAGATAAAGAAAAAATATGCATTAGAATTTTTTTTATATTTTTGTGATACGCCACTGGTTACACACTTGTGTTCTGTGAGTACATGGATACCAACCAAAAAATAAATAAAACTCAATAAATACAAAAGTTTTATGCCCTTAAAGCTCTATACTGCCCTACTATGGAGAAAGGCAGTAACTGCAAAAAAATGCAAAATGCGTTTTCTTGTGCTATGGTAAAGCTATGGACATTTTGTAACCGAATTCAACACAGAAATGCAGTCAAATAACTCATAAGTTAAAAAATCAATTAAATACCTACTGTTTTTTTATAAAAATGTAAATGTGCTAATTTTCCACAAATTTAGCAGTTACTGCCTTTATCCATAGTAGGGCAGAATACCCTTCTGTATTTATTTACTCATCCAGCTATTAGCTTAAGCAATGATTAGAAAATTTAGTACCTATTTTAAAAACTTCATAACCACAAAATTAATTTTTTCATCGTTTTTTTTTCTTTCTGTTTACTCAGATAAAATTAGGACAAGTTCACAGGTTAAACTTTAAACATTCAATTTGTGTAAATAAATCCTTCCCTTAGTTAAGATATTTACAATTTGAGCACAAAACCTAAAATTTGAAAGAAATGCACTGGATTCTGTCATAAAAGTTGCCAGATTTTATTGAATTTACATTTTTTCATTTTCATTACAAAAATGACATAATCAACAAATAATAAAAACGCCAAATTAACAATTTGCATTGTTGATTTTGTAATTTTTAATGACATGTCATTTGTCAATTTAAACAAAATCTGGCAACTTTTTTTTACGGAATCTGGAAACGCTGCTTGTTACCAACCATAACATAATAAATTAAATAAGGCAAAAGATTAGCCTAAAGTTCCTAGTCGATCAGTGGCGTACTGTTTGGTAGGATTTTTATTCTTTGGAATTTAGAAAAAAGTTTTAGGTTCTTCTTTATGGACTCCAAGGAACTACCCATTTTAATATATTGCATTATATACATAACAACCTGTAGATATAAGTGTAATTGATCTTTTATAAAAAGCATGGATTTTTTAATAATTTATTATTTAAAAGTACCTAATCAATTTCATTATAAAAAAAAATATTTTTTATTTTATTTTATGCAAAGTACTAATCTTATCAGAACAAATTTCTTTATTGGTAATCATTTGTATAATAAAAAGTTAAGGTTATTACCTACTTATTTTTAATTTTTTAATGAGTAATGTATTTTTCGAGATTACTCATTAATTTTTTAATGAGTAATGAAAATATTTTTCAATATTTTTTTTTTATAATTAATGTATTCAAACTACATTACCATTAAAAATAAAAATGACTATTGCAATACTTTTTACATTAACATTTTTGCAACTCTGTTGAGAAGAAAGGACAAAACAGATTGTATGACAATTAACGGCTGTCAACTAACTTTTCAAAAAAGTTTTAAAAGATCACTGCGTCACGGAAACGATAAACGTTAAAGGTGGAAAAAAATTACCTTAACATTCTCGATGTCCTTATTTTTGGTATTGCTTTGAAGCTGCGACGTCACCGTGATAATGACCTCTTCGATCCTACGAAACATCCCGGGTTTCATGCCGTGTTGAATCACCCCCTCCACTTTCACCGCCAGCTGCGATCCCGCCTGCACGCTAATAAACTCGCCCAGCACGCGCGGTTGCGGCGATATTGCCAGCTTTACGCTGGTAGACTGCAGCACTTGGAAGAAGTAGCGCGGTATCGGCAACGCAGCGTTGGCCACCAGTTCCACGACTTTCCTTAGATATTCGATTTGCTGAAAGTGATTAATTAAAAACGAAATATTTACTATGTAAATATAAAATCAACTATGTTTTGAAAGACTCACGTAATTTATTAAATCGTCACCTGAGAATTATAGTGTTCTATCTGCATTTTCTTTTTTTTATTCAGGTTAGTCTTGTTTTAAGTCTTAAAGATGATATTGATCTATCTATATATAATTGGGGTAAAAATTGTAAAGTTTAAGGCTTAAACTGTACAATTTCTACCCCAATTATATATAGATAGAACAATATCCATCTTTAATACTTAAAACAAGACTAACCTGAATAAAAAAAAGAAAATGCAGATAGAACACTATAATTCTCAGGTGACGAAATATTGACAATTGTTTCGCTACGCAGTAACTTCTTCAGAATGTATTAAAACTAATACTAGTGCAAAATTTATATAACAAAAATGTTGGTTTTCTAGGTAATAATTTTTATGCTAAATCTACCTGTATTACGTATTATTAAAAGAGACATTCAGAAATTCCTAATGGGAAAAACATTTGTCAACAATTTTATTTAAGGTTCCAATCATGCACTTTATTTAGGTTTTGATTAAAGAATAAACATATTACAAAATTAAATAAAAATCGCCTAAAAGCTGAATTTTGGTCTTCCACTAAAAAATTCATAACTTCGTCATTTTTTCATGTATTTTTATCAACATTAGCTTGTGTTTTTTGTAAAAATGTCAGCTTCATGAAAAAAAAATCAAACTGGAGTTATCTGTTTGATTAAAACCTTTTCCAGGACGATATGTAAATTTTCGACCTTAATTTTTGACATAAAAACGCTAGCGTCAAAATATATTTATATATTTATATTAATAAGTATACTTATTCAATGTTAAAAGTATCTAAAAGAAAGTTTTAGAGGGCTCCAATAGTGGGTCAACATACATGGAAAAACTATATGGTGGGCAGAATTTTTTCTCGATTTTATAAACTAGTGTAATTGCTTATAAAGAATTTTAGGTGGAACGAAGTTCACCAGGTCATCTGCATTATATAAAACAATCACACATTTAAAATATTGCCCCCTTAAATAAAAGTGTTAACAATAACTAGATTAGGTATTTCCCATTAGGAATTTCTGAATGTTTTTTTTAATATTACGTAACACATGTAGATTAAGCATGAAAAATACACTCACGTGCAAAATAATCGATCCACTCAAATTTTCGATGAATTTCGATCGCAATTAACTTTTTTATTTGATGTCGGATTTAAACGAATATTAAAGAATATTGTAGATAAATTAATGGACAATCGCTCACATTTTAAAAAAATAATAAAATTAGACGTACGTTTATAATATACAGGTTTAAACAAAAAGATGTTTTTACCATAAGTTTAAGACCCTCTGTAGACTGGCAAAACCGTATATTGTTCTAAATTAAGTTTTATTTATCAAGTCACATATATTCTTAACAGTTTTGTTTTTGGTTCACCTCGATATATACATTTTTGTGGAAAATATGAATTTTTTTTTTAAACATTGCAATTTCCAATATTTTTCTGTATGAAGAACTAAGGTTGCTATGGTCCATCCATAGGCTATGGAGAATGACAGTGACAGTTTTGTTGAATCATCCCATACTTGGACATGTCATACACCGCTTTCAAAAGCTATGAAATTGTTTTTTGCAAATAAATGTTTAAATTTTGAGGTGTCTTCTTACTTTATAAAATGGATATGTCTCCGACTGATGTTGCCAGAGCTATTAATTTATTCCAGATACGACGGTCACAGTATTAGTAATTTAGAGGTGTCTTCTTACTTTTAAAAATGTCTCCGACTGATGTTGCCCTTTGTACTTTACTTCTTATGACGTTTAAAACACTTGTACTACTTGTAATACTGTATTACGTGGCAAGTGTTTTAAACGTCATAAGAAGTAAATTACAAAGGGCAACATCAGTCGGAGACATTTTTAAAAAATCCATATTTTCCACAAAAATAAATATATCAAGGTGAACCAAAAACAAAACTGTTAAAAATAGATGCGACTTGATAAATAAAACTTAATTTAGAACAATATACGGTTTTGCCACTCTACAGAGTGTCTTAAACTTATGGTAAAAAACATATTTTTGTTTAAACCTGTATATTATAAACGTACGTCTATTTTTTTAGTATTTTTTTAAAATGTGAGCGACTGTCCATTAATTTATCTACAATATTCTTTAATATTAGTTTAAATCCGACATCAAATAAAAAAGTTATTTGCGATTGAAATTCATCGAAAATTTGTGTGGATCGATTATTTTGCACGTGAGTGTATTACCTAGAAAACCAACAATTTTGTTTTATAAATTTGGCACTAGTATTAGGTTTAATACATTCTGAAGAAGCTACTGTACTGTGTAGCGAAACAATTGCCAACATTTAATAAATTACGTGAAACTTTCAAAACATAGTTGTTTTTATATTTACGTAGTTAATATGGAGTTTCATCGAGTTAAGGTCGAAACAATTAATAACGAATTATTTCGACACTGTTAAGATGTTTTGTTTGTTACTTTGTGGGACATGAAGGAGTTCGAGTTCTCGGCGATGCATCTGGTCACTTCAACGATGCCTTCGCATGCTTTGACCAGTTGTTTCGTTTCCAAACCCGTGTGCTTGCAAGAAAACTCCACCGGTTCCTCCCGCAGCTTTATCGTGCTGTTGCACGTGGTGTCGATACACTGCTCGAACAATACGCACATTTGCTGCAAACTAAGCGGAATCGTTAGCGTCGCGACGCGTCGCACAGACCGGTATTTTGAGCTAAAACGTGGCCAAAACTCAATTTTGTTCATTTGTATTACTAGATCTAAGATTGTGTCTCAAAGTAGATAGATCTATCTTTTGGTGTAGTTGCTACCTGAATTGGCTATCCCAGTCCGCGGTACCAAAAGCTGAAATATAGCGCTACTTTAAATCGTACGTCTTAGTTCGCGACACTCCACAAAAACACAAATTTTGTTTCTCATGTTAAAAGTGATTTTGGTGGAAAAAGTTGATATGGATACAATTTTTTATGTGGGTCATTTTCAAGAAACACCCGCTTTCAGGAAAATGAAGATAATTTTTTTGCTTAAATTGACTTTTGGTTGGATTTTTATAAATGTTTAGAGTTTTGTTTACTTACATTTAAGACAGGCAGTGCACTTTTCAATTTTTTTTACGTTTTTTTCAGAAAAATGTGTTTAGCTAGCTTTATATATCTCCATTGTGTTACCAATTTGAAATCCAAAATTAATTAATTAATTAATTCAATAAAAGAAGTTGTTATAAAAATAATTTGAAATAAAATGTACTTAGTTCACAAACTTTTCACTCCAATTTTTTATTAAAAATTGTATGCTATTTTTTAAATATGTATGTTTGTTAAGTTACTTTTTAAAATAAACCATTCCGATTCTTTATTAAAAAAACAATACCATTAATATTTTCTTTTAGTCACTGTATTAGTGAGTTAAACTCTAATTTATAAACACGTATTACCAAGTGATAGAGTATAAAAATCATTTTAAGTATTTTTTTTAACAAATAGACATCGGTATCACAACGGACTGGGGTACACAAAGGACTTACTCAGATAACGTAAAAAAGAAACTATATAGGGTGGTACGATTTTAGAGTAATGCATAAACAAAATCCCTTGTAGTAGTGCTCACTTGCAGAATAACAACTTAGATTTCTAATTTTTTTCTTTGACAATACGCTGGTGAAGGTTCCTTTTAGTACTTGTATATTTCCCTTGGATGTAATCTATATCATGAGTTGTAATCACAAATAATTTTAAATTGGTTTATCATAAACTACTTTTAATAAAAGCGACGCGTCGCGACGGTAAATATCCACTTTGTTGTCGAAAAATTCTATTGCGTTACCCCAAATTCCGTTACCATAAGGTAACATAATGGACTCGGTAACGCAGTGGACAAAGTTTTGTGAAACCATATTTAAAAAATAATAATAATACATTACAGTCAATGAGCTTTAGTGCCCTAAAATAAACATAAAAATGAAAAATAGTATTTTTTCTTACCTTATTTTTATTATTTTTTTGAGTAACTTAGCGGACAAACAATATTACATTCGCGTTACCCGCACCTGTTTCAACCGATATCTGAGATCTGGCAATAAAAATTAACAAAATTGATTTTTGGCCACGTTTTAGGTCCAAATAACTGTGCGTCGTTTTCAATTGCGACGATAAAAAACTTACATTTGCATGTTGTCCAAGGTACTGGGATCGGCGTCGAAAGCGGTCTGATAGAGCTTCCAGTGGAGATCGCCGCAATTTTTGAACTCCACGCTGCACTTCCGCATCTGATTGGTGACGTAGCCGTGCTTTTGGTACTCGTCCCTGGTGTACTGCACCAGGGTGGACGCGATCGCGGGCGGCGGCACGATGCACAGCGTGTTGCAAGCGTAGATTAGTTGGACCAAGCACTGCAAAAATTCCACGCGAATTTTCATGTACTCCGCTTGGAATTGCAGGTTGTAGGAAGGCGTGCTTGCTGCCTAAAAAGTCATTTACAGTTAGGGTTGCCAGGCCTTCTATATTTAATGGAAGTCTTCTATATTTAACGATTTTTAGAATTAAAAAAGTATTGCAGTGTTCCGTTTATGGGTGATTCTACAAAAGTTGGACAACTTGATGTCATCAGTCAATAGAGTAGGTATTTTAATATTTTTTGTAAATATTTTAGTATATTACAAAAGATCCAGGTTTTTTTAACTTGTCCACCCAATTTTAATGTATTTTTTCAAAAGCACGTTTGTAGAAAAACATAATAAATATTCAAAACATCAGTACCTTGGCGTGTCACAACTCCTGAATCAAATATTTGAGTGATTTTATTTTAAAATATATTCAATTTATCTTAAATTTTTCAATTTCACTGCAAACTATAAAACATTAAATAATGTATTTTTCATATTTTATCAGAGATTCGAATAATTTTTCGACAAATTTTGTTCAAATGAACAGCTAAATCGCGAACGTTATTTGTGTTTGTTTCAATGAAAAAACTAAAAAACTGGCTAAGTACTCGATTTCGATTGATTATTCTTTATATCATTGATTAAGAAATTCAACGCTTAAATGCTTATATAGTTACGTTAGTGTATGTATTTTATCATGGTGAATTATTGTGTTTTTAATTGTAAATAAAATTCAAGCACTAAATTGTTGCATTTTAATGTTTTGCCAAAGGATTTAATTCGGTAAGTACATTTGTTGGTGCAGAATTAACTAATGATAACTTTACCTAATATAATTTATATTTAAGTTTGGACATTATTAAGAAATTAGTAAAAAAATAATTGTTGCACAAACATAACCTTGAAATCAACCATTTTTATATCTGAGTTCTCTAAAAAACGCCGACAACTGCATTTTAAACAACAAAATATACCCACGAAATCATGACAACATAATATTATATATAATACATAACGTAATGGTATTTTACTGTTGAGCGGAAACTTTAAAGAGTTCTTAATCAACGCTTTTAATAATGCTAAATGCTGTTTAAATTTAGACGACTTATTTGTTTGACGATTTTTACTGAATTGAAATGTTTAAACTTTTCACGTTAATCAATACTAAAATGTGAATTTATTGTATCTAATAGATACAATTTATATTTACAGGGACTGTATGAAATTTATTTCTTCATTCCGATTAACACTGTTTATTGGAAAACCGATAAAAACTCAACCCAGGATTTCCTCTTGAAATACACCCAACAACACAACAAATCGTGCCACGGTTTTTTTTCGATTTTTTTTAAATTTCCGGCTTTATTTTCAAAAGCACTCGTTTGTAACACACGCGTTTGACAGCTGATTATCAAAAGTTGTACATTTGTTACGATAACAGCCGAGTGGTGGCGCTACTAGCGATACTTCTTTAGGGTATAAGGTGCTTTATTTTTTACTTTGAAATTTATATTGGAATTATTGTGAGACTAAAAACATAAGCGGTTTTTTTAATTTTTTTGAGATGTCTATAAATATTTATTTTAGGTATAGGGAATGATGCAGTATTTCAATAGAATACATTATTTTGTGTCAAATGATGTGAAAATTGTATGGTAGTTGCGTTTAAAATACGGAAGTTATCGGTATTTCTATAAAATTTTCAAATACTATTAATGGCTTTCGATAGAGTGCTCCTTAGTTAGCAGGTACACCAACTTTATTAACATTAACATTACAATTAGTGGTAAAATTTAAAAAAAAGAAGTATATCAAAAACTGTTAAAAATTTAAAAAAATACTTAATCAAATTTTAGTATTTCTAGAATTTTACGTAGAATTTAAAAATGCAATAAAATTTATATGGTTCCATTTAAAAAACCGTAATAACGCATGGAAACTAATTTAAAAACATAAATTGCCTTATTATTGCTATACAAATTTCAGATCGATATCTTTTTCCGTTTTCCATAAACTTCCAATGAATAAGTTAGGTGAATCACCCTGTATATATATTTCAGTTACATAAATAAACCTTTGTAATAAAAAATCAAAAAATTGTATAAAAATTTAAAATACATTAAATCCCACTTTAAAACTAGTTTAGATTAAAGTTTGTTACCCATTTTTAATGATTTATACCTTTAGTGCAGCTATAGCTTTATTGTAATGTATAATAGCCTTATCCAAACGGTCGATCAAAGTGTTGGAATCGGCACTATACAGGCCAGCTTCAGCTTCAGTCATTTCCTTCAGGCACACCAACCAAAAGTGAAAATGCTCGGAACTGACCTGCTCAGTTAGCATCGTAAATATTTGGTTGGCGATCTTGTGATGACCATATCTAAAAGTTCCTTCCCATAGAAATGCCCACCACATTTTAAAAATATTATTTACCTTACAGCAGCCCTGGCGATACAGTAATTGGCCCACATATTATTATTCTCCACCAAATTGCTGATAGTTCGCCATGTTTGTTCGTTCCAATAGTAGCCGCATAGCGTTTGAAATATCAAAGTGCACAGCATAATTTTGGTACGCGTTTGGTTCGCAGTAGGCGATTGGATTTGGGTCAGGGCGGCTATGAGGCTCAAAATCGAATCCACCAGAGGTAACAGCGTTTCCGGTTTTAAGCCAGCTATGGCGCCCAGGGTTTCGCATATGGTGATTGTGTAGTCATCTAAAAATAATAGACCTATCCCATAAAACAGACTTTTGGATAGCGCGTGCCTGAAGAAGAGTGGTATCTCTTTCTCTTTTATATAATTAAAAAAAGACGACGTGCTTTTCACGCACGCGCTATCCAAAAGTTCGTTTTATGAGATAGGTCTATTGTCTATTTGTCCATTTAATTTTTTCGTAAACACTTTTAAAAAAGTTTTAAGGGTAGGTGGATTATCTCCACTAGGGTGTCCGTTATTTCCCAAGTTGAGTTTTTGTACTTGGCTATTATCTAAATTATTTGTTACTTCAGTCTACAAAAAAAACTTCATCAGAAAAAAAAATGTCCCATTGATTTTTTCCTTAGAACTATCTATTTAATAATAATAATAAAATACATTTATTAACCCAAAAAACACAATGCGGTTTAGAGAGGGAACTCTAATTAAATATTTTTATTATTTTTATTTATTAAATTGAAACTACAAATCAACTTATAATAGCTGTTAACGTAGAGTAATCATTACAATAAAGAAAAAATAGATTTATAAATTGAATAACAGTATAATAATTATAAATTGTCCTTAATGTACTTTTTCAATGTTTTTATAAATTTTTCATATTTATCCAAGGATTTAATGGAGTTTGGTAGATCATTGAAGATTTTAACACCCTGTTGTATTGTTGATCCAGAAGCCTTTTTGGTCCTAACTCTGACTGTTCTGAGGTTTTGTGCTCCTCTAGTTTCATAGTTGTGAAAATCCGAGTTTATGTTCAAGCTTGCACTTGTTTTAATGTCTTTGTTTTTTATCTTATATACTAATTTGCACAATTCGAAACTAATTAACTGTTTAATATTCATTACCGGAATTATTTTATAAAGGTCTTTAGTTGGTGTATCATACGGTAGATTAAAAATTGCTTTTAGTGCTTTATTTTGCAGTCTTTGCATTCGGTTTAGATTTCGTTGGGATGTATTTGACCATATTGCTATGAGATAACTTAAGACTGATTTAATATATGAGTTATATATAAGGAATCTGCAACTCTCCGTCAAATATTCATTTACACGTCTAAGCGCACCAACTAAGCCACTAAGTTTGTTATATATTTCACCAATATGTTCATTGAAAGTCAAGTTTTGATCAATTGTTAATCCAAGGTATTTATAGAAAGTCACTTTTTGAATGGGTACGCTGTTTATTTTAAGATTCACTTTTGGGTTGTTTTTATTCTTTAAGCTAAACTGCATATATACAGTTTTTATTTCATTCACTATTAGTCCATTTGAACATAGCCAATTATGAAACTTTTTTAAGTCTTTATTAATGATGTTTTCTATTGTTTTCATATCCTCATGATAGTACAAAAGTGCTGTATCGTCTGCAAACATGTAGTGTGCTCCTAGTAAACCAGCTTTTGTTAGGCTTTCTACATATAATAGATACAGTATAGGGCCTAAAACTGATCCCTGAGGTACGCCTGTCTCCACTTTTAATGGGTCACTGATGCAGTTATTAGTGCTTGTATACTGTTTTCTGTCATGGAGGTAAGTTTTCATAAGCAATATAGCTGGACCTTGAATACCATTCTTTTCTAATTTTTTTAAAAGTAACTCTAATTTGACTGTATCAAACGCTTTTTTCAGATCGACAAAAACTACTATAACTTTTAGTTTTTCTTCTAGTTTTTTAAAGATTTGTTCTATTAGATCCATAGTGGCACTTTGTGTGGAGCTGTTTTCCTGGAAGCCATACTGTTTAGATGATATTTCAAAGAAGTTTATAAATCTTATTTTTATTAACTTTTCAATAATTTTAGAGAAAATTGAAGTAATAGATATTGGACGGTAGTTTCCTGGATCTTCTTTACTACCTTTTTTGTATATAGGAAGAACCTTAGATATTTTACATTTTTCAGGAAAATTGCCAGTCTTAAAGCAGTTATTTATACATCTGAGTAAGGTTTCTTTTATGTTAGGATAAATCTCTTTAATATCTTTAGTAGTAATGTTATCATCACCTGAGGAGTTACTAGAGTTCAAAGATGCGATAACTTTTCCTAATTCACTCAGTGTACAAGGGGACATAAAAATAGTTTTATTATTTGTAACTTCTTCAAATTTTATATCAGCTATTATTATATCTTTTTGCAGTTCTTTGGCAACTTCAGTACAGAATTTATTATATATATTAGCTATTTCTTTACTCTCAGTGTATTCTTTATTTTTGTATTTTAATCTATCTATCTTATTATTTGTTTTTCTAGGTTTTATATTAATTATTTCATCTATAGTTTTCCATATTTTTTTCACATTACTTCCTGTTGACAAAAATTTTTGTGTGTAATAAGATATTTTTGATTTTTTTATCATTTTATTTACCATGTTTTTTAAGGTTTTGAATTCATTTTTGTAGTATCTGCTTAGAGGATTTTTTTTCCATTTTCTGTAGTACTTGTCCCTTTTTTTGATTTTTTTACTTATTTTTGCATTGAACCAAGGCTTTTTATAAATTTTTATGTCTTTAGCACTAGTACTTTGCATTTTAGCTTGCTTAATTATGTTTATAAGTTCATCAAAAATATTTGTATTTGACTTTAGATTTTCATTTAGTATTTTTTTAAATTTTTCGTAGTCTGTTATTAATATTTGTTTTTTTGATTTACTATTAATTTTTACTGCTCCTGGTAATGTAAGTTTGATGCATAGCATTTTGTGATCAGATATGGATGTATCTTTAGTTTTGATACAGGAGGTAACATTTATAGGTGCAATTACGTGATCAATTAAAGTACCATAGTTTGTTTTTAAATTTCTGCGTGTTATTTTGTTTTTATTTGAATGTAAATTTTTTATTTCATATGAGTTTAATTCAATGATTTCTTTGTATTTTTTTGTTTTACAGTTGTCCTTTAAAATGTCAATGTTTTTATCACCAATTATAATACAGTTTTTGTTTTTCTCAAGAATTTTATTTGTTAGTGACAGGAACGTATTAAGTTTATTTTCTGGGGATCTGTAAACACAAAATATTTTATATTTAAAATTTGTTAAATTTACTCCAACTATATTACATTTTTTTATATTATCTGTATTTACGCTTTCAAACTGTACATTTTCTCTTATATAAATTGCTACTCCACCTCCTCTAGTATTTCTACAATTGTGTACCCCTATATACCCCTTTATATTAAAATACTTAATTTCATTTTCAAGTAGCCATGTTTCAGTTAGTAAAATTAGCTCCGGGTTTTTATGTTCATGTATATAATAGTGAATATTTTCTAACTTATTTTTAGTTTTAATTGACCTTATATTTAAATATATGATAGATATTGTATTATTTACTCCAAGATTAACAGCAAATTTTTGTTATTTTCCTTTTTTATTAATTAAGTCTTCTAAGATATCTTCTGATGAAATATGTACTATTTTACTATTTTCAGTTTTTCTTAGAAAAATTTTACCATTTGAGTACCAAGCAAATTTATATTTTAGCTGTACTTTAGCTTCCCTTGCCTTTTTCAGTAATTTTTGATTATCAACAGTTAGATCATGGTTTAAAAAGATTATATGGTCTTGTTCAAATCCAAGTTCATTTGCTTTTAGTGTCTGATCTTTTTTTGCTTTCATAATTTTTTCTTTAGTTTCATAGTTACTAAACGTTACTTTAAGTTGCTTTTTTTCCTTTCCAACAATAGCACATGTAATTTCTTCTTCTTGCACATTTACCTTCATCTTCTTTCCAATTTTTACTACAGTTTCCTTTAGTTCATTTTCACTATTTTCTGCCAGGGATAAACCAGATATCATTAGATTATTTTTTAATTTATCTTGCTCATTTGTATTTTTGTTATTTTTTAGATGATATAGTTCTTTTTTTAATAATTGATGTTCTTCCTTTAGTTTTTTTATATCTTTTTTTAATTCCTTGCTTTCTTTTTCTTGAGCATCAATTTTTTTATGTAGTTTATCATTTTGGTCGATAACATAATTGATTTTTTCAAATAAATCTTCCAGTGATATCTTATTTTTAGTTTGATTTTTTACCTTTGCTTTAGGCGAGATCTTTGATTTGGTTGGTGATTTCTTCTTTGTCTGACTACCATCATCCTCAGATTCATCTGATTCTTCATTATCACTATCTTCGTTTTCAGTATCTCTACCCTCTTCATCACATTCTTCACATTTCCATATTATCTTCTTTTTTTGTATATCTTTAATTTCATTTTTACTTAGGGTGGTGCATTTTTGATGGACCCATTCTTCGCAATTATTGCACTGAACTTGTACTTGATTATGAACAAGCTTCTTGGTACAGTAAGCACAATTCATTTTTAAAGAACAATTTTTTAAGTACTGCTCTGCACAAATTGTTTATTTTCGAAAAATATAATGTCTTTTAGCGAATTTTTGAACTACTCTATTCACACAATGTTTATACACCATTAACTTATGTTTCACAATATTTTTTCTTATCTTATACCACTTTATTTACTAAATATTTGTTCAGCAAAATTTCGCACGACTCTCACTCTCACGCGTAAATTTGCAAAAATATACATCAGTTTACATATAAATACAATAAAAATATTGTCACCTATTAATTATTAAAACACAAATACATTCTGTACATATACACAATACATAAATTAGCTTGGCCTAAAGTGTTTTTTTATTTCATTTATATTCAATAAATCATACTTTTTTACAAGTTCGTTATATTTATCGGCTCCTTTATACAAGATAGACGATTTTTCAAAATTGGAGGTAAAAGGATACAAATCTAATAAATTGTTGTTACAAGTATCATGAGCGTTTATGTTATTTCGTATTATAAGAGTTAGATTGGAATGTTTTTTTTGTTAAGATTATTAAAAATAAAGGCGGTTGCCTGAAAGTAATAAATATTTTCGACTGGCATTATATTAAAATTTTTATACAAAACTGAGGTACTGTATCTCGTGGGCAATGAGTACAGGTTTTTTATGGCCTTGTTTTGAAGGGTTTTAAGATATTTAAGATATCAATTAATATATACATACCATATTTGGTAAATTATAATTATATAGACTAAAATAAACTTCAACCAGTTAATTATAGTTTAATAGTTAAAAAAGGGTAAAATAAACCAAAAACTACCAAATATTACCTTCTTTTTAACCAAAAGTATGTCATTAAAATATCATTTAGGCAGGGTTAAAGATCAGATTTTCTTTTATTGTTTTTAGACTGTAAACAAATAATTTGGATGATTACCAAGTAAAAAAAAAACAACTTGGGAAATAACGGACACCCTAAAATCTAATCTAAATTGAAGCAAAATTGTTCTTTTGGCACGTTGAGGGTAAAATTTTAACATGCAAAGAAAGAATCCTTATGAGTAAGAGTGAACTGAATTTTAGTGGCGTAAGAAATGAGTGGCTATGCATAAGAGAGATATGGAAATAAATCAATTCAATATGGTGGACTGTCTATTTCTTCACAACCTCCTTGACCCATGTATCAAATTAAATGGTTTAACGAGTAGCAAGCAATAAGGTGAGTGAAAATGTTCAAAATTATGTAATTATGTCTTTTAATTGTATTATATATCTTTATTTCAGTCCTGGTGTTGCGACTTTACTTTATGTATAGAATTCTTTAAAGTTCCCAATCGGAAGTGATTAGCCAATCAGAGCACAACATTATCTAGCGATCTAGTGTGCGATGAAGAATGCCGTTAATTAGAAACCACCAATCTGTGCTTGTTCTCGAAAAACCTCAAAAATTAGGCTAAAAATATAATTAAGATTTTACTGTCAATGTTATCCAGTCGTGTTCCCAGCAGTTCCACAAATGTTTCACAGTGCTCCGGTTTAGCATCGCAAAGTCTGACAGCACATTTCAGGGCCACCTTTAAATACTCTGAATGCTTTTGATCGCTCGAAAACGTTAAAAGAAGAATCAACGTTTCGAGGGCGTGGATTACTTCATCTGCATCTTCCGTAGGTTTATTTTCATTGTAACTGAAAAGTCGAATTGTGAATTCAGATTGAATACAGAAAAATATTAGAAGTGCAAGAATACGCTAAAGAAGCATCGGGTTTTGGCAACACGCGCGCCAGCTGGTGGCGCTTGATAGCAATATTGAACTACAAGGTTTGTCAGAAATACATTTAAAGCATACGAACTGCACATCATTTTTAAATAAATATCTAGTTTTTTCACAAAAGAGAGAAAGGCAGTAGTCTTACTCGACAAATTTTGTTCGCACAGTTTCAATTGCACAGCTAAATCGCGCACGTTATTTGTGTTTCGCGGTGCAAGTGAAAACTAAAAAACTTTGGTTTAGAACTTGATTTTGATTTATTATTCCTTATATCATTAATTAATTCATTTGAATTTCCACTGTTTATTGGGAAACCGGTAAAAACTTAACCCAGGATGTCCTACCGAAAAAAAAATCGTTGATTTTCCGGCCTTATTTTTAAAATCACTTATTTGTAACATACGCGTTTGACAGCTGATTATTAAAAGTTGCACTTTGGTGGCGCTACTAGCGATGCTTCTTTAGCGTATAGGCTACCTACCTGTAGCACAATATTTGCGTCAAAATTTGAATGGCCTGTACCGCAACCATTGGTTGAGGCGAATAGCAATGTTTCGAGCAAAGTTCTTTCAACTTTGATTTTGGATCCTTATGTTCATTGCACATTATTGGAGACTCCACCAGAATATGTATGACACCTAAAGGAATTGTTAAACACTATCACGCAATTAATTTAATTACATCAATAATTACTTAAGGCGGGTTTTAGAATTTGCGTTTGTTTTGTGTTCAAAACAAAATCTATAATATCCTCGATAGACCCTGATGGCCATAAATGAGCACCCGGTTTCGCAAGCTCGTATAAATCCTGCATCGCTTTTAATTTTACCTCCCATCTCGGGTCGTTTTTTAGATAATGTAAAAGTAAATTCACCTGAAATTAAAAAAATAGCATTTGGACTGTCAAATGGACGTCAGGGACATGCGCAATAGCAAAATCGCATGCAAGAACATAATGGTAGTATTTTCCTGTACTTACTTGACTTGGAATGTCTACCAAAGTGGCAGCAGCCAATTTGCTAAGAGTGTTAAGTGTTACCAACACAAAATCTTGTGAAGGATATCCAGGCAATAACTCTGTACATAGTGTTCGGACCATTAAAGCTGTATTAGTGTCGTGGTGCATGTATTGCAAAATGGGAATTAGTTGCAACTTCATATTGGCTGGAGTGGATTGGCTTTGAATCATATCTGATACTTTGTTGCACATGCTTATGGCAAATGTCCTGAAAATTATTTCAAACAATTGATTTTTTTTTCATGAGTTTTCATCCGATAAATACAAGTTTAAATATACCATTAAGATAAAATTCTATTTTAATGAAATACCCTACAATAACAGTGGAGGTATGGCACGCCGTTTTTGCATTTATTAGATAATAGTTTAAAGATTAAAGTTTAGCACTTTAATGATGTTTCACAGAAATTTGCAAAGTTAAATTTTTTAAACTCAAAACAATTGATGGTCAAAAAATATTTTAAATATAAAATACAACTGTAAAACTTTACTCTTAAAAATATCGATTTTTAAAAATTTTAGTACAAATATTTTATTCTACAAAATTGTTTTAAATTTGTAAAGAGTCATTTAAAGGATAGTAAATAAATTTTTAATACAAAAATTCTCACATTACATTTAAATAAGTTTTAAAACTGTATAGGTATTTTTGTGTACAATTTTGAAATTATGTTTCAAATTAAAATTCGCACCTCTAGTATGCACTATACCGTTATTTTCAAACAATTTAAATACTTTATTTAATACTTTAATAATCGATTTATTTAATGGCTTGGGTGTTTTTATTCACTATAGAGATAATAGAAGCGGTTTCACACTGATTTTCAACTTTCTGTCCCAACCCCATTAACGAGCGATTTTTTCCACAAAATTCATAAAAATTTTGGAAAATTTGACAAAAAACAAAAACCTTGTATCACATCTATTTTAAAAACCACTTGATGGATTAAGATGGCATTGAAGGTTTTTTTAACCAAAACCTATTTTTATAAACAATTAACACATTCACAAATAATTTCAGATTTTTTACAGCAAAGATTCCAAAAAATAATTTTTAAATTTAAATTTCGTAGGGTTACTGCAAGAACAAGATAACTTTTTATTTTTTGGACAATTTAACTACGATCATAACCGAATCGGTTAAAGCGATAAATTTTGGGCGCAACAAAAATGGTATAATTTCATTTTTAGTAAATAGACATAATAATAGTATATTAAAGAATTAATGTCATAAGACGTCATTTTGTCGCACGAGGACAATTTATAAAACGAGTGACGAAGGAGCGAGTTTTGTAATGGACGAGTGCGACAAAAGGTTGTATGACATGAGTTATTTATGCTATTTTATCTATTTTGCAAAATTCTATAAAAAAAAATAATTTTATACCTTAAATTTAATTTGGTCGAATTTTACTTAAGACAGTTGGTATCACAGTCATTGGTTTGACAGTTAATGTGAAAATCGATTCGCCATGTCGTCCTTAATTTACTTATTTACAATAAGTGGCTGTTAATGTTAAAGAAGAAAAAATGGATTTTCTTTGGTGTTAAACAAAATTTATTGTCAAAAAAGTCTCGTAAGTATTAAAAAAATTATAAAAATATTATAACCAATATGCAAAATAGTATGCTGTTTAAAGTATAGCCAACCTATAAAATCAAAATTTTGGGTGGGATAAAGTATCTCATTAAAGCACCGAAATCGGTGTTATAATGAAGTTATTATGAACGCAAAATAGATAAAAATAAGTTACAAATCCAAATTACTTAAAACAGTGTTTTGGGAGTTATCTGGTTTTTTTAGTAATCCGACGATTTGTTTTTATACGCCACTTTTTTTTTATTTTGCATCTTACAAGCTTGCCCATAAGTTTTCCATAAAAATAAACTATAAAAATTGATCAATATGACAATATTTTGTTTTGTGTATATTTTATGGAAAACTCAAAAAAAAACAATTTTTAGGACTTTTTAAAATTGTCATTTTAAATTTCGTGCTGCCAACTTAAAAAACACAAAAATACGTCAGTTTTAAACATTAATTTTGCCATTATATAAACCTTAGATATAAACAAATTAACAATTTATATTGTTACCTATTTACTTTTGTTTTTTTTTTAGTTTTTAATGATTAATTTGTAATAAAGTAGTAATTTGTTAATTAAAATACAATATATTGGCGCCACTGAATTTGCTGTTTTATTTATTAAACACTAATGGAGACACTACCTTAACAAGCGATTTTTTTTTTAAATTTAATAAAAATTTATAGGGCCTCCATTTTGTGAAATTTGAAAAAAATACTTGTCCTGAAGATAAACTATCAAATCAAAAAAAGTTTAATGAATTTTTCTCGGAATTTTTATAAAAAGTAGTTCATTATAATGAACTACTTTTTACACTTAAGTTGATAAATTGGTCCAGATTTTTTTTTAAATTTTCGTAAAAGTTTCTTTATAGTATAGTGCAAGATATTAAATAAAAACACTTTACAACAGTCATAAAAAAATCTGATTTTTATTTAAATCTTGAAAAAAAACAACCGCCAAATATCAAAAAACCTATTAGCAGAATGTATCTATCAAATTTAAAAAAAGGTAAACCACTAGTTTGGAATAAATGACATCTCTTAAAAGAAGTTTGTATTATTTTTTAAAGTCTTATATATCATGGTCTTATATAGACTGTAGTTTTGATATAAGGATAAAACTATTCCAGTTTTTGTCAATATTATTACAAAAAATAAAATAGGGTTAGTCAAAAACATACTTAGATTGTGCAGCAAACTGAATAGCAGCGTAAATAGCAGCTTCAACTTCCACATTATCATGTGAATCCAAACTGCTTCTAATCCCATGATGCACCTGCTGTTGTTCTGGAATTATAGCAGCTACAGCCCCAAATGTTCTCAACGTAACAGCTCTGGCAACAGGGTCGTTGCTGTGGATAACACTGTATATCCTCCTTACAAACTCGTCGACGTTGGAAATTTTGTCCAAGTGCTTCTCACTCTGCTGGCAAACTCTTAGAACGCACAATCGTAGGAAGTTGCTGCCCATGCGAAACACATCTGATAGTTTTAAGAGGGATGCGTTTATTAATATGGGAAAGGGGTATTTTTCGAATAGTTTGGGGAATTTTACGATTGCTTCGCATTGTTCGCCAACTTTTCCTGACCTCAAGCCTAATAAAATGTATTATTATGGAAGTTTATTTTGAAAATGTTGATTTTCTACCTTTATCAAGCTCTGTTAAGGCGGAATTCGCGTCTTGTTCTGGTTCTCCGAATCCATTTTCATTAAAAGAACTACCACGGGCACCTAACATTCTCAAGGTGTGTATTTGTTTGGAAAAGACTTGTAAATAAAAAAGTTAGGTTATGTTGATGCCGACAAAAAGTGTTGTTCCAAATATCCGGACATCCTATGCATGCGCATTTTAAACATAGACAATTTTTAGAATTTTAAAATTTGGCGTTCAAAATTGAGGATTGAAAAATAACCGGTTTTAGTTTGAGGCACAAATATTATTTGAAATAATTTATTTCCATAAAATTGTATAAAATGAATAATTTAAACAATTTTAATTTTTTCTTAAGAAAAAATTAATTCCTTTAAAATATTAATTGATCCAATCATAAACAAATAATTTTACAAAATTTACCTAGATTTAAAAAAATGTCAGAATTTATTTTTAACTTATTTAGTATAAAAATACATAGTATTTCCATAATAAACTTTGTCCATAATATTTAATAAGAAGTCATGCTCCTCACCATAGATAAGAAGCTCCTCACTTTATAACCTTTATAGGGTCAGTTAACCAGTAATTGACCATCAACCAGTTATTGACCAATGTACCGATTAAATGATAAAAGCAAGGTCCCTGTATTACCTAATTAAAAACTTATATTATTTGCATAGTGTTTTACCCCTTAACTTCTAGATGGCACAGTTTTATTAATGATATCTGCTTACAACCCAGACAGCAATATGAAGTCTGTAAGAATTCTTGTAGAGCTCTTAATTAAGATTTAGACGTCTTAATTTTCTTCAAAATGAAGTCTTCAAGACGTCTTGAGGACGTCGGATGCGCCACCACAAGAGCTCATTAAGACTTCTTGAAGGATTCTAAAAGAGCTCTAAATGTGTTCTTGTAGAAGACAGAATTAAGAGCTCTTTTTGAATTCATAAAAAGAATTCTTGTAGAAGACAGAATTAAGAGCTCTTTATGACTTCATATAGTTTTGTTTTCATGAATTATTCTTTTATACAATTAGTTATAATTATAATGACTTCATAATTATTTAGCCAATAAAGAAAATTTCAAAATCTTAGAAATATGATATATATATTACATATATTATGAAGTCATTATAATTAAAATTAATTAATTGTATAATAGAATAATTTATAGAAACAAAATTATACATATATAAATTATTATATAAATCAAAAATTTATAGGACTCCTAGTAGAAAAAGATAATTTTATATTATGTAGCACCCCTGGCAGACAATTTAAAGCAATAATTTTATATTAATATTTTATTTATTAAAAAACATTGCATTTTATTTAATCTAAAGTATAATGATTTTCAATTAAAACATTAACATATTTTAATAAACCACTTTCATATAATATTGTACGTATATTATGGCGAATAAAAAAGCATTGCTAGCTTTGTTTCTTGAAGAGGATAACATATGTTAGCAATACCAAATCGTCATCTTATTCCTCTTCAAAAAACAAAGCTAGCAATGCTTTTTTATTCGCCATAATATACGTACATGCAGACACTTAAGAGAAAACTAAATAAATAAATTAAATAACAATAATTTTCAATGGTGCATTCATATCAAGAAATAACATCCTATGATCATTATATTTACCCTCTTGAATACATTTCACTTATGTGAAAATTAATCCATTCTTTTGCGCTAGAAAAAGTCTTCAAAATTGATTCTGTACATCGTTTTGATATAATATATATAATATTATTCGATTTTTTTGACTTTTGGATAATTCGTTAAGTCTTTTTCTTAAAGACATGCTAAAAAAATTTATTTAATTTATATAAAATAATCAATCATTAATTAATATATGAATACTTCACCTGTTAAATAGACTGATGTATCAAACAAATAATTTAGAATCTAAACTAAGTTAAATTATAAATTAATTACCACTTGAATTGAAAGTAAAGAATGGTAAAAACCAAAGAAAAAGATAAGAACGTATTTTTTAGGTTATAATACACCATACGCAGTGTTGCCAACAGGGTTAACCCTGTGAAGTCAGAAAAAAGACTTCTTGCGGAGCTCGTTTTACGAAGTCTGAAAAAATGAGGTCGTGAAGACGTCATATTTGGACTTCTTAAAGACGTCATTATAAATAATCAAAAAGACTTCTTCAGGAAGTCTTTCTGACTTGAATGCTGTCTGGGAAGGCATTGGTCAACCACTGGAAAATCATGAATTTTCGTGCATTAAATTTTTTTTCGTCGGCATAGAAACTCTTTTTCTTTTTTAGTCAGCTGTTATCAAATCTTAAAACAAAATTAAACTCAATGATATTTTTTATTTTATTTTAAACTAAAAATAGAGGAAAATATAATAATTTATTCACGAAAATTTCCTTAACTGGTCAATTACTGGTTAACTAACCCTAATCTGTGACTTTATAAAGAACTGACACTTTTTGTGACAAGTCATATGATTCGTCATAATATCATTGAGTAAGGAAGTTCCTTACTCAATGATAATATCCTGCAGTCACTTTAGTCCAATTTTTCAATGTCGAATACATTAATTTATTAGTATAATAATTGTAGTTAATTCTAATAAATGATACGATACTTTTTTAATTGAGTGAAAGTGAGGTTAGAACGGTCCGACAGTTGTCAGATTTTATATTATACGAGGGGCGACTATTAGTTATTTACGTGTCAAGCTTTGTAAATGAATCTTTACGGGCGAGCTGGAAGTTTGTGGGGTGAGCGACGCAGGAGCAAACCCCATAATCCAGTGAGCCTAGTAAAGATTAATTGCAAAGTGTGACACGTACAAACTTTTATTTTCACCTTTAGATAACGATTTTCAAATTTAAAGTTTTAATTAATATGTCAAATGGGACATTTCATTTCATAAATTGCTTTTCTACAAGCCCGTAAAACTTTACAGGTCTTTTATACAAGCCCGTAAAATATTACAGGTCTGTTCCCATAATGTATCGTTTACTAGCTTGGATACAAAAACAACAAAATTAACCTATAAAATGTCATTTACTAAGAAGGTGGAAATAAAATTAATTAATGGTCTTTAAAATTGGCATACCACTAAGTAGAAAGTTAGGTTACAACCGTTTAAAAGATGTCAGATTTTAGGTATACCTAAAATCTGACATCTATCAAACGGTTCTAACCTAACTTATATTATCTTACGCGTTCCTGAATTTATTGGCTCGATTTTTTTTTAAATTACAAATGATTTTTTTATTTTATTTACCTATTATGAATTTAAATTTTAATACAGAAACTGCAAAACAAAGAAGAATTCACAATTATTAATTATTATTACAAATATTTTTTTATTTATCAATTAGGTATATTACCTATAGGTAATGCAGTTTTTCGGAATTTTCTTTACCTACGTAATACTTAAGTAGTTCAATTGAACACAATTATTCTATAAAATTTACAAAAATTAAATTTATATATAAATTAGTTTAAAAATGAATTCTTTTTAACTTGTCCAATTAATGGATAGGTATCCAAAACTACAAAAGGACAAACACTTATTGAGAACAACACTTTGACTTTGACATTTAATATAGTTGTCAAAGATTATAACCTAACCTTTTTTGACACTTAATTGCAAAAGTCAACATAGATTTAACTGTTTTTAGTGGTAGGTTTATATTAAAACTAATTTTATTATTTATAAATCTAGAATGATTTATATAATAATTCCTATAATTTATTCCCCAGTAAAGACCATGGTCTTTACTGGGGAATAAATTATGTCTTTACCTTTTTCTATGCATAGAAAAAGGCAGACATAACCAGACCTCGAGGTCTCGATCGTCATTCCAAGGTACCTACTGAAATGTCAATTTCAATTTAAAAAAATAAAAAAAACAGCCAATTTTTAGAGAGAAATCTATAGTTCCGACTAAAATTTTAAAAAATGCAGTTAAAGCTTACACATGCAAATTTATGAATTATAGGTGTTGTGCAGTTTCCCTTGTAAAAAGAACAAAGCCATGGCCATCAGAACCAATACCATTATTATTATTGAGATTTTCTACCTGCTCCTATTCGCCAAGAACCTTTCTATAAACCTTACAGTCCTATGAGAAAAAAGCAGGTCTGCTTCTATGAGTCATCAACAGGTGTTTCTTCCCCTCCTTCGCCATTTCAAATCTGATTTCCGTGAACTCGTGCAATTGGCACTGGTTTGTTTACCTAAAATTTGAAGACACTACCTATTTAACAACTAAATGTATATTACATAAAGTAATTTGGTAAAAAAATGTGGCTATTAATTAATTTGAAATACGAATGTTAAAAAGTTCGCGCCATTTTGACGAAACGTCAGTTTTCTCGGGACCATCAAGCGTGCTGCGTGTTTCCAGCAAAAAGTTGAAAGGGGATGAAAAAAACAATAACAAAAACAAAGGTATTTATGATCGTTTAATAGGTGCGGTGTTTTTGATATAAGATTTCATTGCAATAAACAGTTTTCTTATGATATTGCTGTAACAAGCAAAATTGAGGTTAAGTAAAGTTAATTCGTGTTGTTTTCGACTTTTTTCTGAATGTTGGATTTTGTTCTATTTTATTGTAATTTAAGATTTCAATACAAATAAATAAATAATTGTTTATTTTTGTTTAGTTTAGTTTAGTTATTTTTGCAATAATTGCAGTGCAATTATTTGTTTAACTGAAAGCTTTTACTGATGTAGGTACCTACCTACCTACCTACCTATTATAAATTATTAAGTATAAATAAGTAATTACTTGATTACATGTTTTTACAAAAACTCAAAATAATTTAAGAGTGAAGTTTTGGTTTACTTATTGTAGGTATGGTTGTGGCCACCTACAATAATATTAGATTTAAAATAAATAATTAATCAAATTAATATACCTATTTAAGTAATAGGTACATATTGTAAATATAACTTGTGAATTACATTTTTTGAAATATGAATTTAATCATATAAGTACTTAATTAATTAATTAATTAAATTAAGTTGAAGAATCATTAGTTTAACTTATACCTAAGTATCTTATTATAAGGTAATTCAAGTAACTACCATTAGGTTTGCCAAAATGCAGTAAATAGAAGAATTAACTAGAAAATATAGAAGCAGACTTCTACTAAATATAGAAGGCCTGGCAACCTTAAGTACAGTACTTGACTTAGTTCCTATGTATCTTAAGGGCA